TAAAAATTGGTACCACATTACCAACCTTCCACGACTCTGGCACTCTGCCCGACTTTAATGAGTTATTAAATATGGAAGACAATGACTCGCAAAACTGCTCTCTTCATTCTTTAAGCATCCTGGCAAACACTGTCCATTCTTGGGGATTTGTTTGGCTTGAGTTTTACTATTTGTTTAATAACTTCTTCCCTGGTAACTGCTAAACTAGTCAACCTGTCCTCTTCCCCACAAACATAGACTTGCTTGCCTGAAGGCATAATGTTAAGTTCCTCTTTAGTACCTAAACAAAATATTTAAAATGCTACTCGTCTCCATGGGGCCTCGTAGCCTGGTGGATGGGGCCTCGTAGCCTGGTGGATAGCGCGCAGGACTCGTAATTCTGTGGCGCGGGTTCGATTCCCGCAAGAGGCAGAAACAAATGGGCAAAGTTTCTTTCACCCTAAATGCCCCTGTTACCTAGCAGTAAATAGGTACCTGGGTGTTAGTCAGCTGTCACGGGCTGCTTCCTGGGGGTGGAGGCCTGGTCAAGGACCGGGCCGCGGGGACACTAAAGCCCCGAAATCAACTCAAGATAACCTCAAGATAACCTCCTTGCCTTTATCCGGTATCTCGCCTGTTTCAATTTATAATGGACCAGTTCATTCCCTAATCTTTGTTCAGTATAACTAAAAAAACATTTCAGAATTGTCTTTGCTTGTCCTGCTTTTCTACGAACTTCATAGTTTTTTTTTTTAACATTTCCAACCAGTTAGACAAATCCTTGTTCTACACTGACTTCACCATTCTTTATTCTTTTTTTCCAAGCTTCCTCCTCCCTTTCCTGCTTGTTGTCGTCGTGAGGGGGCTTAGTACTCCTCTAAAGCAACTTTAAAGAGAAACAAAGATTTCCTAGTTATCATAATGAGGGTATGATTTCTGCACATGCTAAGGTAACCACTGAATTATGAAAGTGGAAAGTCTTACAACCGTGTATTTATTTATTATAGATATAACAGGTGTAATCATCATTGGCAGAAGCGGTATGGGGAGACGGTGGGGACGGAGTGGATGTGGTGGTTCGCGACCCTGGCGGTGGTATTGTTCAACTCCCTCATGGTGGTGTGGTTCGGGCTCCTGCATGACAGTGTGCCAGCCGTCGTCTGCTGCCTCGCCGTCCTCACCTACATGCTCTTCTTCAAGTACGCCAAAGACGACATCAAGATCCTTCGTCATCATAACACCACCCAGGTACTCCACTGTTCTCTCTCCTGCACCTTGTGTATCCCAGGGGCTCCACTGTTCTCTCTCCTGCACCTTGTGTATCCCAGGGGCTCCACTGTTCTCTCTCCTGCACCTTGTGTATCCCAGGGGCTCCACTGTTCTCTCTCCTGCACCTTGTGTATCCCAGGTGCCCCACTGTTCTCTCTCCTGCACCTTGTGTATCCCAGGTGCTCCACTGTTCTCTCTCCTGCACCTTGTGTATCCCAGGTGCCCCACTGTTCTCTCTCCTGCACCTTGTGTATCCCAGGTGCCCCACTGTTCTCTCTCCTGCACCTTGTGTATGCCAGGTACTCCACTGTTCTCTCTCCTGCACCTTGTGTATCCCAGGGGCTCCACTGTTCTCTCTCCTGCACCTTGTGTATCCCAGGGGCTCCACTGTTCTCTCTCCTGCACCTTGTGTATTACGATCTCTCATCCGAAACAGTTCTTTTAAACTCTACGATCCTTTTCAAGTCTAGAGATCCCTAACCTTGGTGGAAATGCAGTGTAGTGTTTAAGGTAAGAAATGAAACTGCACTTAAAAATGACCCTTATTGTTATTTACAACTACCACTATATACATTCCTCTAAGGAGGTCTTCCAGCGCAACACTAGCCCACTCGCTAGCCCACTCCAACAGTGAAGTCCTATAGCGCTCCATTAGCCCTCTGGCTAGTACACTCCCGCAGAGGCATCCCAGGGTTGACCTCTGTACTGTTTCACTGCCGTCTGTTGTTGTTGTTGATTTAGGGGCGACGACGATCGTGGGATCGGATGCGCCCCGGCGTACCCGTTAAGGGTTAATCGCGAAGCCCGGAAAGGTGAAACGGCAAGCCAAATCGCGAAGCAAGTGACGCCAATCACTGGAAACTAATATCCCATGCGGCAAAAAAAAAAAAAAAAAAAAAAAGCAGACAGGCAGTTGATTGGGGAGCCCCAGGAGTCCCTCAGGGTGACAGGCTCCGCCCCCGCCCCACACAGAGAACACTGGATAGCAAAACCAAAATATCGGCCCCCAACTAAAACGCAGTCATCCAGAGTCCTCCGGCAGAACAGAAGCCCCGGCATCTCTCTGCCAAGCCGGTCCCCGAACACCGTCATCCCGCCGGAAGAACCAGCCAGAACACGTAAAAAAAAATCTATCAACAATCCCGTGGCCCAAGGCAATATGTGTGCCAGGCGTCTTACAACCGGACCATAGAATAGGGATGCCAAACGGCAGTAGCAAAGCCAAAACGCGAAAACAGGACATGAACCGGCGGCTCCCAGGCGGAAGAGGTGTCCAGACGTCCGCTTGCCGTCAATGTTGAACCAGGAGTCAACTACGTCTGTCACTGGTACCTCATCACCTCTCAGAACAGCAGACTAGAAGATGGGGAAACTAATATTTATGGGAGAGTCAATTATTTAACTCGGAACCTGGATCATAGATGGTGCCGAGGTCCGCCACACTTTGCCCCCCTAAACAAGATTGTTTTTACCCCTGTTAAAACAATACAAAAACTACATAAAACATTATTCACATACTGGATAATCCTTCAGCTACAACATTGTCTACATCTTTAATATGTACAATCAGTAGGGATTTTTTTTTCAAATACAAGCTCCATCTTGTAACCCTCAAATTCTTGTGCTTGAATTGTGCCAAGGATCGTAGTGGATTATGGTCCAATAGCACTAGACGTGGATGGCTGTTACTATTCACATATATTTCATAGTGTTGCATGGCATTTATCAGTACAATGTTTCCTTTTCAGTGACGGAGTATTTTCTTTGACAATCATTTAGCTTTTTCGAATAATATGAAATAGGGTGTTCTACTTCACTTGCATCTACTTGGAATAATACTGCTCCTATTCCATAGTCAGAAGCATCGGTAGTTAAGATAAATGGTTGTCAAAGTCAGGAGACATCAGAACGGGCTGGCGATATTAGGATAGATTTCAACTTTTCAAACGCCTGCTGGCATTCTTCTGACCATATAAATTTTACCCCCCTTCGACAAGATTAGTTAGGGGCACTGCTACTGAGGAGAAATTGGGGACGAAGTTCCGGTAGAAACCAGCTAGTCCTAAAAATTATCTGACATTCTTTCTCGAAGTTGGAGGTGGGTATGTAATTATGGCTTCAATATTGCTGTCTTTAGGAGCAATTCTTCCCCCGCCTACTTTGTCCCAGGAAGACTACAGCTGTTTTGCAAAATTCAAACTTGAGATTGATGACCACTTCTGCTTTTTTGACAGCTTCAAAAAAATTTCCAAATGACGCAAATGGTGGTTCCCAGTTTCATAAAAAATTTGTACATCATCAATGTACACCATACAAATATCTACTTAACGCAACACTATGGCCATCAAGCGTTGAAACGTGGAGACAGCATTTTTCATGCCAAAAGGCATCACATTGCACTTGTATAATCCTTCAGGCGTAACAAAAGCTGACATGGACTTTGCTTCATTTGTTAAGGGCACTTGCCACCCTTGTATAGATCAAATTTAGTCAGGTAAGAGGCTTTACCTATAGTGTCGAGGCAGTCTTCTATTCTAGATAAGGGGTAAGTGTCTGCCACTAACTTTATTGACTTTATGATAATCAATACAGAGGCGGAATTCGTTGTTTGGCTTATGTACTAGGACAATGGAGGACCATGGGCTATTACTGGGAGAGATCAAGTCATGTTGAAGCATGGATTCTATCTCTTTCCGCATTATTCCCTTCTTAAGCGAATTCATACGATATTGGTGTTGCTTAATAGGCCTTGCACCTTCTTCAAAGATAACGTCATACTTTAGTACCGGTGTCAGACCGAGACTATCCGTAAAGATTGATTTGTATTTCAAAATAAAGCTGATCAAAGGCTGTTGTTGCTCTGGTTACATGTGATAGTTTAGTAGACAAATTCTGCAGGATAAGAGAGTTGGGATGTACTGAAGCAACAATCATACTGACTGGGCTAACATTCTTGGGATGGTACAGTTGCAACATGTTAACATGTACATGCATCTGTGTCTTCTTGCGATCCGGTGTTCCCAGGACATAATTGGTGGCATTTACTTAACTAATCACAGGATAGGGACCGCTAAACTTTGCATTTAAGCTGCCGCCTATAATGGGAGCATACACTAGCACCTGGTCTCCAACAGTGAAATCTCTGGATTTTGTTGTAGTGATGCTTCAAGTGCCACACTGCTCTCTCCTGCTCCTTGTGTATCCAGGCTGCTCCATTATTTTCTCCTGCACCTTATTTATCCCACGTGCTCCACTTCTCTCTCTCCTGCACCTTGTGTATCCCAGGTGCCCTCCATACCCCTCTGTGTAATGAAAGTATCATGTTAAACTTATCTTTACAGGAAAGTGAAGGAGGAATCTGAAGTATGGAGTCTCTCCCATCCCCCTCGGCCAGCTGCTACTGCTGCTCTCATATTACACGCATACCTGCCTTCATTGTTTGCCTGTGTCACACTGCTGCGTCACACTATACACGCCATGTTTATACACTGTGTCACACTACACACTGTTGTTCATGTACGTTCGAAACTACATGAAAGATGTATATAATTGTCTAATTAAACCTGTAATAATTGTTTATAGACTTTTATTCACACTGAGAATGTGTTTTGGAGTGAATGATGAATCCTTACCCATGAGTATGTCGTTTCTGGGGTGAATGATGAAGTTACCCATGAATATTACCACTGTGGCCCCACTGAATTACCTATATTCAGGGGGGTGATAAAACCAACTACAATTAGCAGACACACCAGTGCTGCCACCTGTGCTGCCACCAGTGCTGCCACCTGTGCTGCCACCAGTGCTGCCACCTGTGCTGCCACCAGTGCTGCCACCAGTGCTGCCACCTGGGTTGCCACCAGTGCTGCCACCTGTGCTGCCACCTGGGTTGCCACCAGTGCTGCCACCAGTGCTGCCACCAGTGCTGCCACCTGTGCTGTCACCTGTGCTGCCACCAGTGCTGCCACCAGTGCTGCCACCTGGGTTGCCACCAGTGCTGCCACCAGTGCTGCCACCAGTGCTGCCACCAGTGCTGCCACCTGTGCTGCCACCTGTGCTGCCACCAGTGCTGCCACCTGTGCTGCCACCTGTGCTGCCACCTGGGTTGCCACCAGTGCTGCCACCAGTGCTGCCACCAGTGCTGCCACCAGTGCTGCCACCTGTGCTGCCACCAGTGCTGCCACCAGTGCTGCCACCAGTGCTGCCACCAGTGCTGCCACCAGTGTTGCCACCAGTGTTGCCACCAGTGCTGCCACCTGGGTTGCCACCTGGGTTGCCACCAGTGCTGCCACCAGTGCTGCCACCAGTGCTGCCACCTGGGTTGCCACCAGTGCTGCCACCTGGGTTGCCACCAGTGCTGCCACCAGTGCTGCCACCTGGGTTGCCATCAGTGCTGCCACCAGTGCTGCCACCAGTGCTGCCACCTGTGCTGCCACCTGTGCTGCCACCAGTGCTGCCACCTGGGTTGCCACCAGTGCTGCCACCTGGGTTGCCACCAGTGCTGCCACCAGTGCTGCCACCAGTGCTGCCACCTGTGCTGCCACCAGTGCTGCCACCTGTGCTGCCACCTGTGCTGCCACCTGTGCTGCCACCTGGGTTGCCACCAGTGCTACCACCTGTGCTGCCACCAGTGCTGCCACCAGTGCTGCCACCAGTGCTGCCACCTGTGCTGCCACCAGTGCTGCCACCTGGGTTGCCACCAGTGCTGCCACCAGTGCTGCCACCAGTGCTGCTACCAGTGCTGCCACCTGGGTTGCCACCAGTGCTGCCACCAGTGCTGCCACCAGTGCTGCCACCTGGGTTGCCACCAGTGCTGCCACCTGTGCTGCCACCTGTGCTGCCACCAGTGCTGCCACCAGTGCTGCCACCTGGGTTGCCACCAGTGCTGCCACCAGTGCTGCCACCTAGGTTGCCATCAGTGCTGCCACCAGTGCTGCCACCTGTGCTGCCACCAGTGCTGCCACCTGTGCTGCCACCAGTGCTGCCACCAGTGCTGCCACCAGTGCTGCCACCAGTGCTGCCACCAGTGCTGCCACCAGTGCTGCCACCTGTGCTGCCACCTGTGCTGCCACCAGTGCTGCCACCTGTGCTGCCACCTGGGTTGCCACCAGTGCTGCCACCTGGGTTGCCACCAGTGCTGCCACCTGTGCTGCCACCAGTGCTGCCACCTGTGCTGCCACCTGGGTTGACGCCACAACCATGGCAATACCCTCAGTAACTTATCACACAGACTAATATTTAATTGTGGTGTCGTCACCAGCCCGTCTTCATCAACAAAGGCCAAAAGTGATTCCATGCACCCGGTAAACCCCCCGCTGTTTTTGAATGAAAAACAGTTTACACACGACTCGCAAATGATGATGTTCGAACACTTCCGGAACAATTAAGTGCTTCACTACGAATTTTGTTCGAACCATAATGCTGTAAATGCTTCACCCATGTAATTACAAATGATGTAGAATATATACATTTAAGTATCTGATGTATTACTAGCATGTATACTGTGAAATATCCATTTCATTGTTCATTGCATTGTCCTTTTGTCATATTAGTAATTTATATTCTGGTACTGTAAGATGTATACCTCAGAGGCAACGTTTTGTTACTTATTATGGTATATGATGCTTTATATAGTATTTATGTATAACGGCTGAATGTTACGGTGCCCTCTCCTATTTCTTTCGTTTGCCGGCTTAAAGAGTCATATCAGCTCTCCCTACTGATTCTCTGAGGTTCAGGGAGTCTAATGATATATGTGGCGACCAGACCGGCTGCCAGTTAAGGGAAGGAAGTTATATTATAAGTTGTAAATAAAGGAAAATTGGCGCCCTGTTATAAAATGAAACAGTATCCCCTACGGCAGATATGACCTTTTGGAAGGGACACTAGCCGATCGCGGATTGGCCGACGTAGGTCGCGGGCGACAAATCAGGGCCCGCCATGACGTCACCGAGTGCCCCGGGCGGCGCCAACGTCAGAGTTGTACTGACCTTGGAAGCGACAGGACGCGCCTCGGTCTGCTCTCAAGGATTGGAGGCTCTGCAAGCCTTGTTCAGTGGATTGAGCTGGCCTTCGCAGCCCATCATAGTTATTGGAGACCCTGCGCTTCTGGGAAGCAAAAGAGGAACCAAGTTCAGTGAGCAGAGAAGTGCCAAACTTGGAAAATAGTCGGCGACGACGCTGGGCGGCGCCGCTGGCTGGACGTTGAGGTCTGGAAGGTGGGCGGGCAAGCCTAGCTGTGACTGGGGTCACATCCACTGAGAATCTTGGAAGGACGACACCGCGCCTAGGACAAGGAGCAACGCCCTGTGGGAGAGGCGAGTGTGGGGAAAAATAGTGATTAGCTCAGCGCCCATCGATGAACCAGGATTGGGGCAGCTGAATCTCAGGGATTGGAACGGCGACGACGCGAAGGCTTCACGACACCTGAGGACCTGTGGAACGTCCTGGATCGTCAAGGATCGACCCAAGGAAGCGTGGGAACCTCACACCATCGAGGGACAGGCGTCGTGAGCCAGGAGTGTAAGGTAGATCATTTTCCCTCCCATTACCCCTTGTATGAGTAGGCTAGTTAGGCCACAATATTTACTTGTGTATGTGGCAGCAAGACTTTATTACTTTAATAGTAGAATAGGCTGCAAGGCAGCTTGTGTCCAGGACTGTCAGAGAGGACAGTGTGTATGGATGGCAGGACAGTGAAGAAGAGGTGCCGACGTGGTGAAGAGGCCCTCCTGTGAGAGTGTGAGACTCCTGTCTTCCTGCCCAGTTGAAGGAGTGTTGGAGGTCGTGGAAGAAGAGGCTGACGATCTCCAGACTCATTATCCATATTCCATATTCATGTATTACTTGTGATTGTGTGTGTGTGTTCATGTAATTTGCATCAGTAAATCCACACATTTTATTACTGTGTTTGAGTGTGCCTCCATTTATGATATTTCTCTATGAGCATACATTTCTGGCTACAAACAATATATAATACACCCACTGAACTGCATTGCTGGGGTGCAGATATAATAACCCAGCTGGCGACCTTGCTAAGAGGAAGATAGAGAAGACAGGCGGGAAAGGAGTTCCTGCAACCTTTTTTTGTCTGGCAGGCAAGACTCAGGGAGGTTATGGTTATAAGGTAAGCCTGAGTCTTCCTTCACTCCCCCACGGGTCTAGGCCGGAACTGTTAACAGCAGTTTCCCCGTGTTTGACTGAAGGGCTTCCAGGGTGAATCAGTGGCACCCCCTTTTGTGGTGGAAGCAAAGACCTGCGGAGGTGGGCATTGTTGGTCCTATCTTGTGTGACCAAGGAGACTCCGGTGAATCCCGGGAGTCGGAGGGGCTGAGTATTTGGGCCTTTTGAGCCCCTAGCAGCCGAGTGTTAGCAGAGCCCCGGACCGCCCACCCCCACGTGACACCCCCTGGGCTACGTGACAAGAGAACACCCCTCCCCTTAAAATAAGAGTCATATCGGAAGAGCAGCACTCAAGAGGGCAATCTATACTCTTGCTCCCTCCGTTCCTGAAGTGTCACTCCTCCAGTTGGTGACGTGGCTCGTACCACCTTGCCAGTCACTTGCCTCATTGTATCTCCACCTCGCATAGTACCGGGTGTGATGGGTGTTCCCTGAACACCTACAAGAAATCCCCTCTCCGTGGCTACGAGTGTACTCCCACGGCTCGTTACCACTGTAAGATTCAGTGCATGCAGCGCCTCCACCGCGTCGTGCACTCCGAGATAGTCTTGCATTTCCACTGCGTCCTACAGGTACTCCATGTTTCCTCTCATGATCTCCTCTTCGCCAATCTTCTCTCTTCTCGGTTCCTCTTCTCCCGTAGGTGCGTTGTCTCCTCACAGTGGCACTTGTAACCTGTACTCCATCCAGCAGCTTCCTCTCTTCCACACTAGGCTTTTGCGATGGCCCAATGCCCCTCTGGTTAGGCTGGCGCCTACCCTGGGTGTACCTATTCCCTGCTTTCTTCGTATTGCCTTTCCTATACCACTCGCTCCTTCGTTCCCGACGAACATCTTCACTCCTCCATGAGATTCTCTTCCCTGCAGACGTCTTCTTCGGTTCGTGGTTGGGCTCATCCACCTCCCTGTGGCTCACCTCACCACGGTGGTTCATCTTGCACCTACCACTATTCATCTGGCCGGCATAGGGTGCTTTGCGTCGTGGCTCCTCCACTCTGCCCCTCACTGCCGTTCGCTCATCCACTGAGCTTACTTTATTCACGTTTCTGTATGGAGGGAGTGCGGTCTGCAGCCTCTTCACCGCCCCAGGCGTTTGTACAGCTGCTCCTCGCCACTCCTCCACACGCATCATCAGGCTTAGTCGGAGGTCCCCGTCGGGGTTTTCCACAACCTCCGACGACCTCTCTGCACTCTCGCCCTCGTTGTCGTCGTCTCTGGCGACGTTTTCCCTGGCGAAGTCGGCTTCCTCACTACCATCTGGAACGACCGATACCTCACCTGGCAGGGTTGTACCGCTGCTTGCAACATAGGCACTCCTGGCCCAATCGGGTTGTATCCTGCCTCCTCCGAGGTCATTACCCAGCACCATCTGTACATGCTCTAGGGGTAACTTAGGGGCTACAGCTACTATAGCTTTCTCGACTCCGCAGTCGGCAATCAGCTGTACTTCGTGAAGTGGCAACCTGTATTCCTCCCCCACACTGCGTATCCTCACCACTCCCACAGGTGAATCATTAAATTCCTTGGGGAGAATACTCCTGGTCACCATACTTATGTCAGCACCCGTATCTCGAAGCACGGCAACCTCCACTGGGTCTGACTTTCCAAACTTCACGTTGGCCCCGAAAACGAAGGGATGTTCACCCAACTTCATTTCCCAACCATTCACGTTGGGTCCACTATAATATGGGGTGTGAACAAACACTCTCTCCTCTTCCAACATTAATCCTACATTCCTTTGGTGCTCCTCACACTCGCGGGCATAATGTCCTCTCACACCACAGTTGTAGCATCGGCCACCTCCCCTGGGCGGCCACTCGCCAGTCACTCTGGCGGTACCACTTGCAGACGTCCCCTGGGTCCTCCTTGGACTCCCCGTCGTCGTGTCCGGGACTGCAGCACTTGCTCCCGAGTTAGGTCCACTGCTCACAGCTTGGGGCTTCCTCCCCGCGTCTCTTGAGCTCTTGAACCACGTTACTTCATCGGGCACACTACTCTTGGGAGAGTCCCCACTCGTCCTCGCTCCTCCTGAACTCCTAAGGTTCCCTCCCGACCTGGGGTAAGGCGAGTGTCTGGGCGGCCCCTCCCTCCTGATATGTAGCGCCTCCTCCAGCATGTCGGCTCGATCCGCTGCAGCCTTCAGGTCCTTAATACCTGCTTCTCTCAACCTTACTCGCAACTCAGGATGGAGCACTGACATAAACTTCTCCATCACTATCAGTCGTTTGATATCATCCACCGACTCCGCTTCCTCCGCCTTCAACCATCGTAGGAATTTCCGTTCCATATCCCTGGCGGTCTCGGCGTAAGTCTTTCCCGACGCTCTTGTACACTCTCTGAACCGCTTCCGGTACATCTCCGGAGTCAGCCGGAATGAGTGGAGAACCGCATTCTTAATCGCGTCATAACTAGTACACTCCTCTAGGTCCAGCATGTTATAGGCTTCCCGGGCCTCACCAGTCAACCTGCCCTGGACCAGAGCAGCCCAATCATCTTCCGGCCACTCCTTCAGAGTTGCTATCCGTTCAAAGTGTTCGAAGAACGCCTCAGCTTCTTGTGGTTCGAACGTAGGTAAGTCACGTTCCCTTACCTTGAGGTCATCCCGCCGTGCAGGTAGTGAGGGCAGACCACGTTCAACGCGACGCAATTCGACTTCTTTCTTTGCCCTTATCTCCTCCAGTCGCAGTTGTCTCTCTCCTTCTTCCCGCTGCAGCCGAGCTTCTCGCTCCTTCCTCTCGCTGCAGCTCAGCCGCACGTTCCTCTCGCTGCATTTGCGCTTCTCTCTCCTCTCGTCGCAGCTGGGCTTCCAGTTGCATCTTCATTATTTCCAGTTGCAGGCTCCTCTTACTACAGCTGGACCTTCCACTGCTCCCATGTTCACTGTGAATTCTCTCCACACTGGTAGGCGCTTGGGGAGGCCCTAGTCGGGACGGTTCACCTTGCGACGGCTCTCCTCGGGACGGCTCCTCTTGAGATGGCTCCTCTCCCGTCGCTTCCTCTCGAGCTGTGAGCTGTGCCATGATCTCTATCCTTCGCTCCGCTACCTTAGTCGTCCTCAACCTGATCCCAAAGTGGTTTGCCACTTGTTGGAGCTGGGCCTTGGTACACTCTTCCAAAATTCTCTCGTCCCTTGTGTCAATAAATTTCTTTACTTTGTCTTCCTCCATCTCTATATCATTGAGCATACACGACAGCACAGACAAGTTAGTAGGCACTAATTTCACCGTTTCAGTCCCTTAGCTGGTTGAGTAACAGTACCACCGAATTCACTGGCCACACTGTATTAGTACCCTGGCAACACTTGTCTTGAAATTTGGTCCACACTGTAGCTTGATCCACGCTTCCTGGCGAGGTTCCCAGTTCTTGGCTACTGGGGTTCGAATCCTGGCAAGGTCGCCAGTTCTCTGTCACGTGGGGGTGGGCGGTCCGGGGCTCTGCTAACACTTAACTGCTAGGGGCTCAAAAGGCCCAAATACTCAGCCCCTCCGACTCCCGGGATTCACCGGAGTCTCCTTGGTCACACAAGATAGGACCAACAATGCCCACCTCCGCAGGTCTTTGCTTCCACCACAAAAGGGGGTGCCACTGATTCACCCTGGAAGCCCTTCAGTCAAACACGGGGAAACTGCTGTTAACAGTTCCGGCCTAGACCCGTGGGGGAGTGAAGGAAGACTCAGGCTTACCTTATAACCATAACCTCCCTGAGCCTTGCCTGCCAGACAAAAAAAGGTTGCAGGAACTCCTTTCCCGCCTGTCTTCTCTATCTTCCTCTTAGCAAGGTCGCCAGCTGGGTTATTATATCTGCACCCCAGCAATGCAGTTCAGTGGGTGTATTATATATTGTTTGTAGCCAGAAATGTATGCTCATAGAGAAATATCATAAATGGAGGCACACTCAAACACAGTAATAAAATGTGTGGATTTACTGATGCAAATTACATGAACACACACACACAATCACAAGTAATACATGAATATGGAATATGGATAATGAGTCTGGAGATCGTCAGCCTCTTCTTCCACGACCTCCAACACTCCTTCAACTGGGCAGGAAGACAGGAGTCTCACACTCTCACAGGAGGGCCTCTTCACCACGTCGGCACCTCTTCTTCACTGTCCTGCCATCCATACACACTGTCCTCTCTGACAGTCCTGGACACAAGCTGCCTTGCAGCCTATTCTACTATTAAAGTAATAAAGTCTTGCTGCCACATACACAAGTAAATATTGTGGCCTAACTAGCCTACTCATACAAGGGGTAATGGGAGGGAAAATGATCTACCTTACACTCCTGGCTCACGACGCCTGTCCCTCGATGGTGTGAGGTTCCCACGCTTCCTTGGGTCGATCCTTGACGATCCAGGACGTTCCACAGGTCCTCAGGTGTCGTGAAGCCTTCGCGTCGTCGCCGTTCCAATCCCTGAGATTCAGCTGCCCCAATCCTGGTTCATCGATGGGCGCTGAGCTAATCACTATTTTTCCCCACACTCGCCTCTCCCACAGGGCGTTGCTCCTTGTCCTAGGCACGGTGTCGTCCTTCCAAGATTCTCAGTGGATGTGACCCCAGTCACAGCTAGGCCTGCCCGCCCACCTTCCAGACCTCAACGTCCAGCCAGCGGCGCCGCCCAGCGTCGTCGCCGACTATTTTCCAAGTTTGGCACTTCTCTGCTCACTGAACTTGGTTCCTCTTTTGCTTCCCAGAAGCGCAGGGTCTCCAATAACTATGATGGGCTGCGATGGCCAGCTCAATCCACTGAACAAGGCTTGCAGAGCCTCCAATCCTTGAGAGCAGACCGAGGCGCGTCCTGTCGCTTCCAAGGTCAGAACAACTCTGACGTTGGCGCCGCCCGGGGCACTCGGTGACGTCATGGCGGGCCCTGATTTGTCGCCCGCGACCTACGTCGGCCAATCCGCGATCGGCTAATGTCCCTTCCAAAAGGTCATATCTGCCGTAGGGGATACTGTTTCATTTTATAACAGGGCGCCAATTTTCCTTTATTTACAACTTATAATATAACTTCCTTCCCTTAACTGGCAGCCGGTCTGGTCGCCACATATATCATTAGACTCCCTGAACCTCAGAGAATCAGTAGGGAGAGCTGATATGACTCTTTAAGCCGGCAAACGAAAGAAATAGGAGAGGGCACCGTAACACCAGTGTTGCTCTCGGCCTGCTTGACTCCTGGGCGGTCACTACTCTTTGATCTTCCGAGTCAGGCGCATGTGTGTCGCATGGTCCGGGTTTTAGTGGTCTTATTTGTGTTAATTGACTGCTAGGATATTTAATGTTAAGCAGTGGTGTTTACCATTGATCATTTCTACCGTTGTACATCATTTATACCAGGTGGCAGGTGCTCTTATATGTATTATTGAGGTGGGTACCTGAGGATCTTAAGTGATGCCATTGTGCTATGTATGATATTGATTTCTCAACCTCATTTATTAAGGATTGTGACACCACCATCCTGTATTATTATCAATATAACAGGTGCTAGTGTCCCACTGCGCCAGGATAGAGGCTGGTGTCAGTGCTGAGTGTATGCAGTTTTGAGTGACATGCATTTTTGTTCTCGTATTGGCATCGTTAGTGATATTTAGCGCCCTATGATTATTCCGCACATTTGATGGTGCTACGTAGTCTCCCCTGCTTGGTGCCGCCTTTTGATAATTACTTACTTTTCTTTTATGATAAAGTCGTCCGCGTAGTTTAGCATCCTGCAGTGTTGTGAGAGTTTCAGCCTCATTATTTTTTCCATTAAACATTTGAAGAGAAGGGGGCTGAGAATGCCTCCTTGCGGTGTACCATTTTCATGTCTTTTGTACTCAGAGACTGTGCCATGAAGTTTCACTCTTGCTTCTCTGTTTATGAGACAGTTTTTGGTCCAGGAGAGCAGGTTGCCTTTGACCTGCTTGTCGATGAGGCAGCAGAGAATAACTGGGGCGCTAGCCATTTCAAAGGTTTTCTCGAGGTTTTCTGGTCTGCCATTCAAGTGGACTAACAGAGTGGCAATATGTTCCACTGTGCCAACCCCTCTTCTTTAGACATACATATCCTGGTACAGTTTAGGCATTTTCCACTCAAGTCTGTTGAGTGCCATTCTGCCAGCCGTCTTGACTGCACAGCTTTGGAAAGAGATTGGCCTTGGATTAGCCAGATCTTTGGGTTTTGGGATTGGCACTATGTCTGCCCTATTCCAAGTTGAAGGTCTAGTTTGAAAAGTCCAGGTTAAATTAATTAACCCTAGGCATGCAGCGTCTCCCTCTGGGCCGAGGTTTCTAATAATTTTATAATTTTACATCATCCCCTAGATGATTTTGTCATCTCTAGGGGATGTATCTTTGAAATTTTTCAAAGCCCGATTGAGCTCATCCAGTGTGAAATGGGTATTAGTGTCAGAGACTTCTGCATATGCGGTTAGGATTCTGTGCCACCTTTTTTACTCTAATTCTTTCTGAATTGCTAGTACATCTGCTGGAGGCTGATTACTGGTTGCTTGCTCTTCCTGCAAATGTGGTTCCCTGTACTGTGGGGACTCAAAGGAGAATCAGTGTCAGGCAGTGTACATGTACCCTGTACTTTGAGACACCCCAAATTAAGCTTCACATTGATGTTAATATTTTAATACACTTTCAAATGTTTCTTTTCCATGGAATTGGATACGTGTTAAATTTTTAAATTTCCAATTAGTTTTTTTGATGACATTTGGTCCCTGATTGGTGAAGCTGCCCTCGTCCTGAGATTAACTGACATTTGAAAGCATGAATTCCATGCAAAAATATAACCATTTGTATATGAGTGTGTTGAGTGGTGAGGAGAAGCTCACCAGGACGGTGTTGCGTGCAGGGAACACCAGAACGGTGTTGCGTGCAGGGAACACCTGTCACCAGGACGGTGTTGCGTGCAGGGAACACCTGTCACCAGGACGGTGTTGCGTGCAGGGAACACCTGTCACCAGGACGGTGTTGCGTGCAGGGAACACCTGTCACCAGGACGGTGTTGCGTGCAGGGAACACCTGTCACCAGGACGGTGTTGCGTGCAGGTAACACCAGGACGGTGTTGCGTGCAGGGAACACCTGTCACCAGGACGGTGTTGCGTGCAGGGAACACCAGGACGGTGTTGCGTGCAGGTAACACCAGGACGGTGTTGCGTGCAGGGAACACCTGTCACCAGGACGGTGTTGCGTGCAGGGAACACCAGGACGGTGTTGCGTGCAGGGAACACCAGGACGGTGTTGCGTGCAGGGAACACCTGTCACCAGGACGGTGTTGCGTGCAGGGAACACCTGTCACCAGGACGGTGTTGCGTGCAGGGAACACCTGTCACCAGGACGGTGTTGCGTGCAGGGAACACCTGTCACCAGGACGGTGTTGCGTGCAGGGAACACCTGTCACCAGGACGGTGTTGCGTGCAGGGAACACCTGTCACCAGGACGGTGTTGCGTGCAGGGAACACCTGTCACCAGGACGGTGTTGCGTGCAGGGAACACCTGTCACCAGGACGGTGTTGCGTGCAGGGAACACCAGGACGGTGTTGCGTGCACAAATGAAAGTGGAAACTGAGTACCCAAATGAGCCACAGAGATGTTAGAAAAATAACTTTTTCAGTCAGAGTAATTGACAAATGGAATGCATTAGGCAGTGATGTGGTGGAGGCTGACTCCATACACAGTTTCAAATGTAGATATGATAGAGCCCAGTAGGCTCAGGAATCTGTACACCAGTTGATTGACAGTTGAGAGGCGGGACCAAAGAGCCAAAACTCAACCCACGCAAGCACAACTAGGTGAGTACACAAAACACACATACAAGCATAAACATTCACACACACATACTCACATTAGATAATTAGTACTTAATTTAATTTATAAATGCTACAATACGTAATTCATATATTTGCTACGAATGTCTACGATTTGATTTCTGAAATTGACGTATATTATACGTTCAAAAGACGACTTTATATAAATAGTTATTGTGTCACCATTCTGCTACCAATTGAAAACGTCAGAAAACGTTTTGTTTGCTGGGCATGGGGAGGGAACATGGGGAGGCAGGTGGGGAGGGAACATGGGGAGGCAGGTGGGGAGGGAACATGGGGAGGCAGGTGGGGAGGGAACATGGGGAGGCAGGTGGGAAGGGAACATGGGGGAGCAGGTGGGAAGGGAACATGGGGGAGCAGGTGGGGAGGGAACATGGGGGAGCAGGTGGGGAGGGAGCATGGAGGAGCAGGTGGGAAGGGAACATGGGGGAGCAGGTGGGGAGGGAACATGGGGGAGCAGGTGGGAAGGGAACATGGGGGAGCAGGTGGGGAGGGAACATGGGGGAGCATGTGGGGAGGGAGCATGGGGGAGCAGGTGGGGAGGGAACATGGGGGAGCAGGTGGGGAGGGAACATGGGGGAGCATGTGGGGAGGGAGCATGGGGGAGCATGTGGGGAGGGAGCATGGGGGAGCAGGTGGGGAGGGAGCATGGGGGAGCAGGTGGGGAGGGAACATGGGGGGAGCAGGTGGGGAGGGAACATGGGGGAGCAGGTGGGGAGGGAACATGGGGGAGCAGGTGGGGAGGGAACATGGGGGAGCAGGTGGGGAGGGAGCATGGGGGAGCAGGTGGGGAGGGAACATGGGGGAGCAGGTGGGGAGGGAACATGGGGGAGCAGGTGGGGAGGGAACGTGGGGAGGGAACATGGGGAGGCAGGTGGGGAGGGAACATGGGGAGGCAGGTGGGGAGGGAACATGGGGGAGGCAGGTGGGGAGGGAACATGGGGGAGCAGGTGGGGAGGGAACAGGTGGGGAGGGAACATGGGGGAGCAGGTGGGGAGGGAACATGGGGAGGCAGGTGGGGAGGGAACATGGGGGAGCAGGTGGGGAGGGAACATGGGGGAGCAGGTGGGGAGGGAACATGGGGGAGCAGGTGGGGAGGGAACATGGGGGAGCAGGTGGGGAGGGAACATGGGGGAGCAGATGGGGAGGGAACATGGGGAGGCAGGTGGGGAGGGAACATGGGGGAGCAGGTGGGGAGGGAACATGGGGGAGCAGGTGGGAAGGGAACATGGGGGAGCAGGTGGGGAGGGAACATGGGGGAGCAGGTGGGGAGGGAACATGGAGGAGCAGGTGGGGAGGGAACATGAGGGAGCAGATGGGGAGGGAACATGGGGAGGCTGGTGGGAAGGGAACATGGGGGAGCAGGTGGGGAGGGAACATGGGGAGGCAGGTGGGGAGGGAACATGGGGAGACAGGTGGGGAGGGAACATGGGGAGCAGGTGGGGAGGGAACATGGGGGTGTTATGATCACCAAGGATGATAATGCTACGCTTCCTCTTTCCTGCTCAGCTTCCTTAGATAAGACAGGAAGACAAGAGTCTGTAGAACGTCCACAACGGCGCGGGCGTGACTCCCGCCACGCTCCTGCCTCCGCCACCCAGAACACCCACCACACCCGCCGCCACCCACCACACCCGCCGCCACCCACTACACCCACCGCCACCAGTATGGTAAGTGAACACACACAAAGTTCTATCTGAGAGGTTCCGACGCCTAATGGTCACCCGCCTTACCCTACAGGCACAGGGAAATAATGAAGCTCTTTATCAACAATACCCGGTCAGTACCCCCCCTGTACAGTGATTAACTTATACCCACCCCAGTACAGTGATTAACCAATACCCACCCCAGTACAGTGATCAACCAATACCCACCCCAGTACAGTGATTAACTTATACCCACCCCAGTACAGTGATTAACCAATACCCACCCCAGTACAGTGATCAACCAATACCCACCCCAGTACAGTGATCAACCAATACCCACCCCAGTACAGTGATCAACCAATACCCACCCCAGTACAGTGATTAACCAATACCCACCCCAGTACAGTGATTAACCAATACCCACCCCAGTACAGTAATCAACTAATACCCACCCCAGTACAGTGATCAACTAATACCCACCCCAGTACAGTGATCAACTAATACCCACCCCAGTACAGTGATCAACTAATACCCACCCCAATACAGTGATCAACTAATACCCACCCCAGTACAGTGATCAACTAATACCCACCCCAGTACAGTGATCAACTAATACCCACCCCAGTACAGTGATCAACTAATACCCACCCCAGTACAGTGATCAACTAATACCCACCCCAGTACAGTGATCAACTAATACCCACCCCAGTACAGTGATTAACCAATACCCACCCCAGTACAGTGATTAACAAATACCCACCCCAGTACAGTGATTAACCAATACCCACCCCAGTACAGTGATCAACTAATACCCACCCCAATATAGTGATCAACTTATACCCACCCCAGTACAGTGATTAACCAATACCCACCCCAATACAGTAATCAACCAATACCTACCATTAGAAGGGATGATACTTAGCGACGAATTTAGATTTTTGTCAAATTCGTCGCTAAGGTGTCACTCATTTTTGGGTGAATTTGGGCGAGTCCCAATTTGTCGCTAAGGTGTACCCTATGTTAAGAGTTAAATTAAGGTTAGATTGAATCCATCTTCTAAGAATATGTTAAATATAGTTACATGATGTCAGTGTCAGATGTTAGTTCGTGGACCCGCCTCTTGACGTTTATAGGTATAGATTCGTTACTTTCAACGTTATTTCCATAAGATTTAAAAGGAAGTTATTTTGGACGTATTAAGCAAGATAAAGTTTGTTACCAGTTTTAGCTCTTGTCCACCGCCTTAGTTCACTCATATAACATCACTATTAACAGCTCAAATTTCCAGAGATTTAAAACAAACATATTTCAGACAGAAAATAGGTAAAGTAAGTGGCAAGCTCCAGCTCCTGTCCTATGCCTTAGTTCTGTCATGTAAGTTTGTTAGTAATTGTTCAATTCCCGTGAAATTTAAAACAGGTGTATTTTTGATGTAGTAAGATAAAAAAAATACTGATACCAAACTCTAGCTCTTTTCTTTAGTTCAATGTTCACCAAAACATAGTTATTTCAAAACAATTGAGTTAGCTCAGCTCTCGTCTGCCGCAATTATCAAAGTAAACATGTTTCCCAGATCAAAGTACATACTCTTCCGGAAGTCAGGTGTCTACCATCGAGATACTTGTCCATCACCAAACAAAATCATTATCTTGCTCTCTCTATTATCAATGTAGATGAACATAAGTCATAACCGTACTCTAAATACAGGTAATCAGCTGGTGTGTGTATGTATGTGTAAATACGTGCTAAGGTAGGGTCATTGTACTAGAGACAGGTGACCTTTACTCGCCCATAACAGGTCTTATTGACCTACTTGACAGCTCGCACCAAATGAAACAATTCTCTCTCTCTCAATTTTCATATATAATAAGTCATTAGGTATTAATAAAATGTATTATTTATTTTAATTTTATTTAATCTTCTAGTATTAGTTACACAAGACATAGGTAATAATGAACACATGTATATCTTTAGCATGAAATGCAATATAAAAATAAGAATAGGTGAAAATTAATTATATAAAAAAATTTAATTGGACAAATAAAGAAAAAAAATAGAAGATAAATAAAAAAAAAGGATTCTAAAAAGAATGACTATGTTAGGAATATAAAACTTAGTAAATTTCTGAAATTACACTATACAAAAATGAGGTACATTCAGATACACTGAAAGTAATAGTTTACTTTACTAAAGTAATTACACTATAGTTAATTTCTAAAGTTACACTATAACAAAATGAGGTAGATTATTTTGAGGTACACTGAAAGTAATAGTTTACACTTGAGAACACAGGCAAACCCAGAGTACAATGGAGCAAGGGAGTATGGAGAAGCTATAGGCAACCTAGGTAACAATGAAACACAGGTTGCCTAGCCTGCACTTGGTGACAAGGGGGGGGGTTAAATAAGAAGAGGCACAAGTGATAGGGTTATGTCAGGTCAGTCTGGCCTGACTAACTGAGAGGGTTAGCTAGGTCAGTCAAACCACACTGGGTGAGAAATGTTTTGAAGGTATCCTCATTTGAGATTGTAAACGTTTTACCTGAAGGAGTTTTCCTCACTTTTTATAGAAAAGCTCAAAATTTATCATGCCATCTCTGGCAAAGCACTGATTTACACACACACACACACTCACACACACACACACACACACACACACACACACACACACACACACACACACACACACACACACACACACACACACACACACACACACTTAGTAACCTGTACATCTTTCCTCAATCTTCATCCATCAGCCAAGTTTTCATTTATCAAGCAGCTGATGCGCTCGGAAGCACCAGGAGGCTGGCTGGCTGTAACAATGACACATTTGACTGGGAAATCTCGGTGCTCGCAAGCTGTTAATATACGAAATCAAAGCCAGCGAAGATTAAGACAAGATGTACAGGTTGTTAAGTGGTTGTGTAAATGCTTGTTGATACTGGCACAAGTTCGTCACCTCGTGTGTCAGCATCAGTTATAATTATAATTTATTATTTTTCAGGAAATCTCTGTGTTCATGTTGGTGGGTGGGGGCGTGTTATGCTCCTGCCTGGTGGTGCTGCTGCTGATGGTTATCTGCTACTGCTTGTGTAAGAGACGCGCGTCCCACCCCGCCTACACCTCCACCCACACCAGCTGTCGCACCTCCGCTGTCTACTCTTACATAAGCAGTTTTAGGCACCCACACCAGCACAGGCGGAACCTGACAGCCTTATCACGGGTTACAAACACAAGTGGTCCTGCGAGAGCATTTCTTCCTCTGATGTCTCCAGTGCCCAGTCATCCTCCTCCTCCACCCCCGTTGCCACCACAACGCAGAAAATGCTCGTCTTATTACCACTCTGTGAAGAACAAGCCGTTCTCCCCAGGGCGTGCAGCACTCGGCACCATACCCTCCAAGATAAAGTACATACGGAGAGAGAGACAGCCTGCACCAACGCCTCCGTCTAGTAGAGAGGGCAGTGACTGCGATCACAACAAAATTACTTGCAAGTCGCCGCTTTTAGAGACCGCTACCTGGGCTTCACAATGTTCAAGTGACACGACCACTAGTTCTCCACAGATCATTTATGTGGGCCCATTGCCGTCTCCCCCAATAGAACCGCCCAAGGAAGCCATCAACATCCTATCCAAGATGCCGTATGTGTCTCCAGGTCCACCAGCTGTGTTATTGGAGACATCATCGTTCATCAGCGAGGCATCAACGTATCGCTTGCCTTGTGTCCCGCCTTGTAGCGACCCTCTCTCTCAGACCCAGCCGCTCCACATGGGTCAGATGGCGACTCTGCGACCCCCCGACAGCGAATGTGGAGCTGGTCATGGGTTCCCTGGTACCAGGGATTGGTGTCACTTGCGACGTAGGTCCCGTAGCAGAGAGACAGAGCAGGGAGATGACCCAGTCACTCTCACCCTCCACCACAACTCCTCCCACATGGCACTCACTTGCCCGCAACCTCTCTCTGCTGGGCCTTCACCCTCTCCATCACACTTCCTTCGTGCTTCAAACACTGAATTGTCAAACTGAGTGTTGAGTGTTTCTCTAGATATAAGAACGTTCTGTTAAAATGTATTAATTTCAGTTTGTTTCTCCGTGTGGTAGTCTTAGAGACCTTGAAGAACATAGAAGGGAAGACAAAATCATACAGTAAACTATGCACGAAGTTTACATGTTAGCTGCGCAGTAATTATGCCCCGCCACCTGGCTCACGACCCCCATCCATGGAGGAAAAATTCTAGAATTAGTTTAAAGTATAAATTTCATTTAATAAACCATGTAATGTCTGTTGAAAAGATGAAGTCAAACTATCAACTAACAATCATAATATTGTTATCAATGAGAAAATCCACTGGGACTATAGGTGGGCGCGAACCTCCGACCCCGGCAGATGGCGTTGACATCATCGCAGTCTTGTACAGATTAATGGTGGCACACTGGTAAGGTGTGCGGCTGGGAGTTTCTTGGTCGCTGGTTCGAGTTCAAAATCAGTGTTGCAACAGATTTTCTCGTGATGTGAATCACATTAATGATTTATTTATCTACTCGTAATGTTGTAAGTCCGTAAAGGTGTTGCGTGTTTCTCTAGATATAAGAACGTTCCATGTTCCATGAATATAAGTTGTATTGTATTGAGTGCATTTTCTACTGCATTATTCCTTGAAACTTTTCCTGGAAATGATCCTCATATTGTGCTTCAGTGAACCAATGTATAATCCTGAAATGCTATCCTCATGTACCTAGTAATCCTTGTGTCTTTATTGTGTATTGTTATTATTGTGTATTATTCTGATCTGCTTTTGTGTCAAAATTTCTTCAAATTACCTGTAAACATTTTTTGTTGATATTACTGTAATTCTTCTTCTTAAAATTATCTGTACCTGTAAAGAAAAGCTGTAAAATACCTGCTAACATTTTTTTATAAATTTTACTGTTAATTTATCAAATTTTGTACTGTTAGTTAAAGGACTTGCCCGAAACGCTATGCGTGCTAGTGGCTTTACAAGAATGTTAATTCAACTTATTTCTATATTCTCTGTTAACCCCCAATGTAACTTCTTGTATATAAATAAATAATTAAATAAATAAACCATGTTTCCCCCCTTTTTTATTTTTGTATTTTTTCAACACAATATATACTTTAATCTAAATTAGTATTAAATTTGAGTCTAATCCGAGGCCATGCACTGAACTATATCCAATCCTATCTTAGTGATAGACACCAATTTGTAACCATCAATAATATAACCTCTCCCACTCTACTAATAACCGCTGGAGTGCCACAGGGCAGCATCTTGGGACCTCTCCTATTTCTTAAATACATCAATGATCTGCCTAATGTCTCTAACATTCTGAAACCTATTTTGTTTGCTGATGATGCTACCCTCATCTACTCTAACCCCCAACCCACATACACTAAATAATGTTGTTAATAATGAACTAAAAAAAGTCCACTTATGGATGTCAACCAACAAACTAACACTTAACATAGAAAAGACCTACTACATCTTATATGGAAGCAAATCTACAAATTCAATTCAGCTTCAGATAGACAATGTAAACATTAGTAATAAAAATGATGGAATGTTTCTTGGCCTATTCCTAGACAAGAGACTCAACTTCAGCACCCACATACAAGACATAACTAAGAAAATCTCTAAAACAGTTGGTATACTCTCCAAAATCACATCTCTCAATGTACTTTCTTGTATATAAATAAATAAATAAATAAAGTGTTTTTCCTGCCCAAAACGCTTTGCGTAATAGTGGCTTTAGGCAGTGTATGTACTAGCTCTATCTACAAATCCATCAATGTTTGTATCTCGCCTTGTATGCATGTACCTTACCTGAATAAAAAAAATTATTTTCTTTTTTCTTTTAGAAGTATTGAGAAGTAATGCCATAGTGACTTTGACAGCATATAGGTTTGACATTACGTTTAACACGCCTGTGATGGCCTGAGTGATGCATCTTGGTCACCACTAACATTCAACCTTCTCAGGTCATGCGTCTTTTATAATTATTTTACTCAATTATTGGATATATTTTGGAATTAAACCAGAAATGTTCATATTCAGGTATAGGAGATATTAATATAATCGTATTAAACATTTAAAACACTGCTTAATTTCTTAGCAATAATAGTTTAGTTCATTTATTATGCACCCCATACCCATCTTGTGGGCGGTAGTGGAAAGGGTTACAGAGGCACATAATGGGCTCAGGGACTGAACCCCACAATTCATTTAGCTAAGCAAGTTACAATCTTGATGAGCTAGTTACAAAATTCAATATAAGTCGTCACATCAACAATGGGTTCGAGATCGGCCTCAAGTACAGGTTCTAAATTAAGCAACTGACATATGTGGAGAGCTAGTGTCAAAATTTATATGTTTGTCCTGCACACCGCCCCCCATCCAGTGAGCAGCGGTGGATAGGTTACAATCACTCTTAGTTACTACCTACAGTTAGCAAACTGGGGATATTTGGCTAAAATTTCTGGTAGCAGATCATTTTGGATGAAATATTCACACATCGCTGGAACATTGGTTATAGAATTGTCTCTAAATTCACGTATCTTTTCGCACTCCATCACATAGTGACGGAGGGTGTGCGAATAATTTTGTTGACACAGTTTACATTTGGTCAGGTCTACATTAGCAGATAATGAGAATTCCCAGGGATACTTGTAACCGAGTCTAAGCCGAGCAGTAGTAACATCTAGAAGTCTGCTGATTTTATTGGATGATCCATAGATGTGTGGCTCCTCTTGCATGATAGTGTAGCGAGTGGATCCCGCAGGTGCAGTACTTCGAGCCTCTCCTAGTACCTCACCACAAGTTAACATCGTCACTCCGGGGTCACCAATGTAACGGTTCTATTGTTACGTAAAGTATGGTGACAAATAAACACAGACACTAAGATACTATATATATATTTGGTCGAATATACAGAAGTACACAGGTGATACGTTGGTGTGAGTTGAGCGCACTGAGCGTTGGTACAGTATCTCGCAAGTGTCTGCTCTAGACCACACTTGAAAGTAGACTAGTTAATGTTTGCTATTCTTGCTGCTTATATTGCTCGGGCAACACCTCACCGTGTTGCCCGGGCAACGCCTCACCTCATTCATCTCCAAAGGTTGACAGGAATATTAACACTATATTTGGAGCGAGTATATTATTGGGATAATCTACTCGCTACAAATTTATTGTCCTGTGGAGTTGATTTAACTTCCAGACACGTTTTGTTTAATAAATATTAAAGATTTAATGGCTGTTTATGAAAGATATTATATAAATACACATTCTACTTCTTAATATCACCAATTAAATTTGCGACAATTTGAGCCATGAAATGCGACGACTGGATCACTGTGTACAGGAGGCTGATATGGCAGCAAACACTCTCCAGGCGACCATATGATAAGTCGCTCCACACAATTGTCGCTTGGACCGTCGACTTCCTATGGCGTCACCTCTCACATATTTACGTCTCATTTCGTTATGAAATTAGATTATTTCAGAGTAAAAATAGGTTTGATCATGTTCTACGTGTAGCACCAACATTATAGTAAGTAAATATACCATATTTCTCCATTACTTACGTAATGCTAGGACGATTTGTGTAGTTTTGGGCCGATTTGGGTAATTCTATGGACCGCTTCCAGCTGCACCCGTGGTGCGGTGTAGGGAACCATCAGTGTATATAATTTGAGAGAGAGAATGCTCTGTGGACAGAGCATCAATATGGCTTAAGGCGTTGAGCTTTGCCTCAAGACGAAGCTTGGGCTGATCTCTAATTTGCTTCTTGGGTGGAAAGGGAGGGATTAAAACTGGAAAGGGTGTAACCTCCCACGGTGCAGGAAAGTGCCGTTGTTGTTTCTCTTGGTACAAATCATGAACCCCATATATTCTGAGTTGAGTTCCAGTTTTTGTTATCCATTTGGAACAATGTTAAATGTGCATTTGTTGTTTCTTGGTGAGAGCTGGCAGCGCTGCTGGGCGTCATCAGTCACTAAGCGACGTCAACACAAGCAGCCACGTACCTTCAAGGAGGAGGTGGAGCTGCGTTACAGCAGGTAACGTGAAATGTTGGGTTATATAAATTAATATACGGTAGCTCTTTATGTAAATCTGCAGTAGTTTACCCAAGGTTATGTTAGAAAGAATACAATTTGGTTAAGATGTGAAGCTGTTAGAATATGGGGGGGTAAACAACTGGACTGAATGGTAACAGGAAAAGTTTGTAACATATTTGGGTGACAACATTCAAAGAGTATTGTGTTGTTTTATGTTTAATTAGTATGGTCCTGGCTGCTACAGTAATCTAGTGTTGGAAATGTAATGACGTGTCGTGATAGCTGAGGAAGTGCCAAGCGCCTCCTGGAGGGAGCTGATAGGTGACCATGGCATGGAAGCATCATGGCAAAATTTCTGTCATTAGTGAAATTTTTTTTTTATAAATATGTGCCAAAAAAGGAGAAAGAAAAGAAAGGGAACTAGATTGATGACACAGTTTAGTTCATTTATTATGCACCCCATACCCATCTTGTGGGCGGTAGTGAAAAAGGTTAAAGAGGCACTTAATGGGCTCAGGGACTGAACCCCACAATTCATTTAGCTAAGCAAGTTACAATCTTGATGAGCTAGTTACAAAATTCAGTATATGACACAGGGTATTAAAAAGAGCATTGATAAAGAGACCATCTGGAGAAGGTATAAATCCATGATGAATATCATTGATTGAGATATATGAAAGGGCACTGAACTCTGCTACCCAGGAAATTAGATCAGCCAAAAGAAATTACAGTACAAAAGAAAAGGTGCCCAAAACAAAGTCATTCTATGCCTATATAAGAAGTAAAACCAAAACTAAAGACTTGTTAGGACCCTTGAAAGATGAGACTAACCAAGTTATAATGGACAATAAAAGGGCAGAGAACATACTGAATTAATACTTTACATCAGTGTTCACTAGAAAGATTAGATGACATCCCATCACCCACACAAATGTTTGAAGGAGGTGAGAGAAGGAATTTAGGGATATACCCTCATGCAACATAATCAGGAAGAACATTGACAAACTAAAATACTCAAATGCCCCAGGTGTTGATGGAATTCAATGCAAAGTGTCATGATATTAGGCAGTGTAGCAAATGTAGTATTTGATAATACACTTAAACATAAATTGGGTCTTTTTTCACCTTCAATAATAATGATTTATTTTTTTACACAAATGTACACACACATGATACATGAGCAGAGGAAGATACCACTTGGATATGTGTATTAGGTGAAGGAACAGTACCCAAACTGCAATGCACAAATTAGAAGAAACCCAGCCCTGTAAGGAGGCATCTGATTGGTACACTTCCAGGTGAGAAGCAAGCTTAGAGGAGACCCAATGCCCATATATAGTGCAGAATTATGGGTTTTGGGTGTCAATGACTCAAGAAGCAACATGGCAAATGGAGAGAGAGTGATCGCCAATCTGTAGCAGGACCAATGAGCACCCATCAAACTAATTCGTAGCAAGTGTGGACTCAATGGATCAATCCATCACAAACCACGCCAGAGCCCCGCAGGTAAATTAACCAGCCAAGCAAGCCACTCAGACACTAGGGATGCTTGCCAGAAGAACATACACCAAATGCACTCAGTAATGACACAGCTACAAAGGGCATAAACAGCATGATGTGTAAATGAGTGTCAGTGTACAATACTGCAGCCCACAGACCAAATACAATGCCCCCAACCTAAGGCCTAAGCAGAAGAGTCAGCAATTCATGCATCCCCCTAGGCAAGGGTCACCACCCTAGTGGTCAGACCTTTCACGGGTGAACTCCCAAAGACACCAGAGATGGGACTCTGTCAGCACAAGGGCAACACTAGGTAAAATCCAGGAATGGGTCACCCTGGCCACATGCAGCCTGAAGTGTAAAATATGTAAGGTTCAGGCAATATTGCCAACAAGTAAACATTTGTATGTAAAGCAAACACCAAAATGAAAGAATAGCCCTGTAAGACAATCTGAAGGATGGCTGGCACTTAGCTGAGAAGTGGTGGGACCCACTGTGAAGGTGGACCTGAGGAGCACTGTACAAGTAGTTTCAACCACAGCAACAGAACTGAGCAGCAATAAGACTGATTACGGGTCTGAGCTCCGGGTAGTATGGTGGTGAATATGGGTACTAATGGGTTATGCTAGTTAGTGAATAGTTTATTTTGCCTGACTAATTTGCAGTCATTTAGCTATTTCGGTGCTTTGTTTTCTATGAACCTTACAGTTGTCTGTAAAGCTTCACTGACTTTCTAGATGCTTTCCCAGTGACGGTGACAATAATTGTCACCCTGCTGTCTGCACCTCTGTGTGCAGACAGCAGGCTTAACAGGACTATTGTGACTGATGTAACTCAGTAGTGGGAAGCTTTCTAGAAGAGCCACTGGAGCTCTCCCCAAAAAAGGCATTTCATTACCTCAACACTGATTCATAAAGACAAGGCCTGAATTGTTTTCAGTTGTATGTTTAAAACATTACAGTATAGAAGTTGGTGTGTGTATGTATGTATGTATGTATGTATGTATGTATGTATGTATGTATGTATGTATGTATGTATGTATGTATGTGTGTGTATATATATATATATATATATATATATATATATATATATATATATATATATATATATATATATATATATATATATATATATATATATATATATATATATATATATATATATATATATATATATATATATATATATATATATGTCGTACCTAGTAGCCAGAACGCATTTCTCAGCCTACTATACAAGGCCCGATTTGCCTAATAAGCCTAGTTTTCATGAATTAATGTTTTTTCGACTACCTAACCTACCTAACCTAACCTAACCTAACTTTTTCGGCTACCTAACCCAACCTAACCTATAAAGATAGGTTAGGTTAGGTTAGGTAGGGTTGGTTAGGTTCGGTCATATATCTACGTTAATTTTAACTACAATAAAAAAAAATTGACATCATACATAATGAAATGGGTAGCTTTATCATTTCATAAGAAAAAAATTAGAGAAAATATATTAATTCAGGAAAACTTGGGTTATTAGGCAAATCGGGCCTTGCATAGTAGGCTGAGAAGTGCGTTCTGGCTACTAGGTACGACATATATATATATATATATATATATATATATATATATATATATATATATATATATATATATATATATATATATATATATATATATATATATATATATATATATATATATATATATAATATATATATATATATATATATATATATTTTTTTTTTTCAATCATTGTATGCATACTGTATTATAATGTATACTTCTCTGTTATCTTTTAGGAATATGCAAGGCTCTGGTCTGACAACATTGCAGGACTACTCTGGGTGCTTTGTAAGACTACAGCACCTCTTCAAAGATAGAGATGAATTTAGTAAGGAATTGCAGAAGAATTTGGCAGTTTCTGCCAATCCATATAAAATGTCTTTGGTATGTGTAAAGCTTTCTCCGGACTTATATAAATGTAAATCAAATTCAATGGCAGCAAATATACTTGTTGAACTGCAGAATTTTCTGAATCAGGAAAGTAATAAGCAGAAATTTGAGTCATGTCTGAGTGTAGAGCTACAGAAAGATGCATTTCAAGTTGCTGTTAGACAAAAAAACACTGGCATCCTAAGACTCCTTGTTAAAGTTTATCAGATGATAAATATAAAAGACTATCTTTTGCCTTTTGTGAAGGAGCTGCAAACTAAAGACCACCTCAAAGAGGTGTGCACACTGGCTACTCTCCTTAGCCTCCAGTCACAGTTTACTACACAGGAGCTCATTATGCCCTTGTTTCTTCAAGACCGCTTGTCAGTAGCAGATGAATTTCTTGACTCGAGTCCCTCACACCAGAAAGAAATTTTGGTCTTCATTGATAAGCTAATTGGAAAGAAAATAGATACTGTAGATTTAGAAAAATATAAAATCAAAGATTTAAAAAAAATTAAATCCAGCAAAGTACTGTGCAATGTTGTGGCTAGACTTTTAAAAAGATTTGCATTAGATTCATCAGTTTGTCCTCATTTCAAAAAACACAGAGCTACAGGGGGACTGCGTTTCTTATTTTATAAATATTACATTGAGAAAGGTATACAGAAACAGACATTCTTCAGCTTAGTTGATGATACATTAAAAGAGCACCCAGACCTTAAAATAGACTTGATGTACCTTTTTATTGAATACTGTGATCCTGAGGCAGCTTTACCATATGTAACTAAGCTACAGATTGCCTTCCCAGATATTCCAAGGCAAATAAAAGATACAATGAGCCAATTTCCACATCTTATGCATCAGAATGATACCTTGGAACAGCATCTCGAATCAACCAAAGAGGAAGAAATATGGGATACTGGTACGAAAGACTTTTATCCACTCAGTGTACCTTGTGAGAAGGTTGTCATTATTGACACCATTGATGGCTTGGAGAGGTGCACCGTTGATTTGTTAAGGAGTCCAGTGATAGGCATGGACTCGGAATGGAAGCCAACATTTGGACTAGGAGCCCCAGAGCAAGCAGCACTGCTACAGTTAGCAACAACTTCGCAGGTGTTTCTTTTGGATCTTGTAGCACTCCAGCCAATAATGACAGATTGTCACTGGCACCCTCTTTGTCAGATGATTTCAAATTCCAAAATTACAAAACTTGGTTATGGTATTAAAGGAGATTTCAGAGTTCTTGGTCGCCTTAATGCAAAGATGAGAGAGGCATTATCTACTGCTAAAAATTTGATTGATTTTGATCACACTAAAGGAATACTTTTAGAGAAATATTCAAATATTTTCTCTTATAGTGAAATAGGTACATCACACAAAGGTCTAAGTGATTTAGTATATCGTTGTTTTGGGTCACCACTTAACAAAAGTGAGCAGTTCTCCAACTGGGCTGCAAGACCACTTACTAAATCACAAATCTTGTATGCTGCCACTGATGCCAGATGTCTAATTGATATTTATGAATATTTGAACTGGCATTCCAAAAATTGTAACATCCCAGATTGGCAGAACATAAAGAAAAATGATGTTATTAAACCAGAAAAGAAGAAGAAAACTTCCAAACAGTCAGATGGTAGTCAAGTGAATGCAGAACTGAAAAAAATGAGAGGGAAGGAGCCAAATATTGCAGCAGACTTCAAGTTTGTTTGTGATACAATGGTGCAGGTTTGTCCCCTTAAACTTGCTGTTCTGATTCATTGGAAATATTATACTTAGAATGTTCTCTACTATTTTCTGTGGGGAGCCCCGTCAGCTCCCTGAAGCTGTCTTACTGATCAAGTGCCATATTACTTGGGTGTCATCAGTCGCAGAGTTCTTTGTAAGCCTACTGGAGACCACGAGCCAGAACCTGGCCCCTTCAGGTAGGTGAAGGAAGCAATGGCCTATGAGCACTTTACATGTAAAATATGTCATACAGTATTTGTCATTGACTGAGGAAGAACTCAGAAAGGTAGGTGAATCAAAACAGACCACTGTCTGGTTGAAAATTGTGAGTTTCATCCTCACAAGCACAAAAGAACTCCCCAGAAAGCAAACAAACAAGCAAAACTTTGTCCAACTAATCCCCCCCCCCCACATCCATAGTGGAGAAAGGGAGCCAGCCTGGGTAAGTCAGGCTGCCACCATTCAGTTCTTTGACTGATGTAGTCATGCTGAGTAGTCGCTGTGGCTCCATGTTCCCGTTTTCCATTTGGTGCTTTGCCCTTGTGCCCTTGTTTTGCCCTTGGTGTTATGAAATGGATGTAATTACCTAAGTGTAGTTACAGGATGATACCTATGCTCATGGTATCCCATCTTCCCAGTACTCTGTTGTATAATGCTTTGAAACTAACGGTTTTGGCCTTCACCACCTTCTCGCTTAGCTTGTTCCAACCGTCAACCACTCTGTAAAAGAAAACTGTCTAATATTTTTTTGGGAACCTTTATTTCCTTAGGTTGAAGCTGTGTCCTTTTGTTGGTGAAGTTTTTCGTTTCAGGAATTCCTCTTTGTCAATTTGGTCGATTCCTGTTAGTATTTTGTAGGTGGTGATCATATCTCCTCTTTTTCTTCTAGTTTTGGCATGTTTAACACCACCTTCTCACCTCTTGTAACATAACTCTTGTTTTTCAGTTCTGGAAGCCATTTTGTAGCATTCTGTTGTACCATTTCCAGTTTATTCATGTACTTTTTGAGATTTGGACACCATACAACTGCTGCATATTCCAATTTTGGTCTCAAAAAAGTCGTGAACAGTTTCTTTAGTATTTCACCATCAATATAATTAAAAGCAAGCCTGAAATTGGAAAGCGATGCATATGCTCCTCTCACAATGTTCTTTGTGTTCCTCTGGTGATAGCTTTCTATCCAAAACCACCCCTAGGTCTTGTTCTTTTTTAGAGTTCTATAATTTCATTCCACATAATTTGTAAGTTGTGAGTGGTCTATTTTCTCCGAATCCACATTCCATAACACAGCATTTATTCACATTGAATTCCATTTGCCAGTTTACACTCCAAGCACTTATTTTATCTAGATTGATTTGAAGGGCATTACAATCGTCTGCACCTTCTGTCTTTCCCGGTATCTTAGCATCATCTGCAAACATGTTCAAATAATCCTGTATTCCTTCTGGTAGATCGTTTATGTAGACGATAACATTACTGGTGCAAGAACTGAACTCTGTGGTACTCCGCTAGTAACACTCCTCCATTCAGATACATTGGCTCTGATTACTGCCCTCATCTTAAAGCAACTAGAAAGTTTTTCACCCATGTCAGAAGTTTCCTTGTCACTCCTCCAGCATGTTCCAGTTTCCAGAACAGCCTCTTGTGTGGGACTGTCAAAAGGCTTTTTTAGGTCCAGATAGACAGTCATCCCAACCACCTCTTTCCTTTATTATCTCTGTGACTATCCTAAAAACTAAGTAAATTTGTTACACAGGATATTCTTGTTCGAAAACCATACTGTTTGTCCGTTATTATATCTACTCTCTAGGTGTTCAACTTATTTGACTTTAACTATTGTTTCTAGTGTTATGACTGTACCATGCTTGTTAATGATACGGGTCTATAATTTAGAAGTTCCTCTCTACTACCAATTTTGTAGATTATTATGTTTTCCGTTTTCTATATATCTGCTAAGATTCCTGTGCAGACACCCAGAGGTAGACCTCTTCACGTCCGCGTGGTCTTGGCATCTCCCATTGTACATGGCGCCATTCCCCGACTGCGAGGTTTCGTGGTGGACGTTTTTCAGCTGGACTGGTTGCAATGGGGGTTCCTGTAACTTTTCCTCCCAGTCCAGCTGTTGCTACGGGTTCTAGCTAGAATGGAATCCTATTGGGGAGAGTTATTCTGGTCCCATGGTGACCAGCTCAGTCTTGATTTTAGACACTGCTTGCTCGGTGTCTGAATCTGGGCATTTTTCTGTGGCTCTGCCTCTTTCAGGTGGTTGGGTCAGTGAGGTGCCTCGCTGGTTCGACTTACTCCTCCGGGTTACGTGTCTAGCATTTCTAAAGAGTGTATATCGCCATTTGTATGGTGATCTGGTGGCTTCTTTCATTGTGACCCGCCTGCGGTTTACATCCTAGCTACAGTATGAAGTCTCTTGGCGGTGTTTCTGCCATTTTCTTTCTCTTCATCGGATTTTGTCAGTGCTGGACCAGGTTGTTTTGTCCTTTCTCTCTTGGTTTATTCTGGATCAGCATCTCATGCCGAATACTGTCGCTTTGTATTGTGAAGCGCTGGCAGAGCCACTGCTGCTTGCATTCAGGGTGGATGTCCCTTCTGCTCCATTCCGCAAGCTTTCTCGTGCATTTTTCACCTCCAGTCTGCTCATGTGCCGTCTGAGCCTTCTTGATCTTTGGACCGAGTTCTTATATTGCATCTTCACATCAGTTTGTGATGGTCCCTCGGTTCGTGTTGTTTTGTTGGCCTTGGCCTCTGGTGGTCGTTTTGTTTGTTGGCAGCCAGCTCCTCCTTTCCTGGTGAAGAATGAGATGGTGGGCTTCTGGAGGGATCTGTTGGTTGTGGATGCTTGGTTGGTTAGACCAGGGGTGCCGCACGTGCTGTGTCCAGTGACGGCTTTATGCTCCTCCTTGCAGGGCCCCCGTTACTGTGTCAGTGGCCATGCTCTGGGCTGAGGAGGCATCCCTGGTTCTCAGTTCCAGGGCTCGTGGGTCTCAGGTTGTCCATGGTGTCTTCAAGTCTAGTCAGCCTGCTGTCTACCCTCGTGCCTATGATGTTTGGATGTATGCCGCTCTTTTGGCTGACTTTGGACGATTTTCGGGCTTGGGGGTTTTGGGGTCAGTCATGGTCCTGGCTGCCGGAACTCATGACTGTCCCAGGCCCTCTGCTGCTTTGTGTTGCGCTGTAGGGCTGCCGCCTCCCGGGTTCTTCCCTGTTTTCCCTTCTCTGTGGGTAGTTTGCTTCAGAAACTGACGGGGCTCCCAACAGAAAACTAGCTTTGAATGTAATGAAAAGCCAGTTTCTGGGTGAGCCCCCGCAGGCTCCCTGACACCGTCTCTCCCTCCGGTCGGAGGTTTTTCATCATTCAAATAACTGGATGGTGGCGGCCTGACTTATCCAGGCTGCGGCTCCTTCTCTTCCCTACGGGTGGGTTGGGGGGGGGTGGAGCTAACGAGCAGGGGGGGTTAGTTGAACGAAGTGTTGTTTGTTTGCTTGCTTTCTGGTGGAGTTCTTTTGTGCTTGTGAGGACGTATCTCACAATTTTCAACCAGACTGTGGTCTGTTTTGATTTGCTTGCCTTTCTGGGTCCTTCCCTGTTTGATGGCAAGATGCCATACTTTAAATGTAAAGTGTTCATGGGCTATTGCTCCCTGTGCCTCTCTTAGGGGGCCCAGTTGTGGCTCGTGGACCCTGGCAGGCAATACAGGAACTCTGCGACTGATGACACTCAAGTACAGTAGTATGGCAATTGAGTATGATAGCTTCAGGAAGTCTCCGAGGCTCACCCAGAAACTGGAGTTTCATTACATTCAACACTGGTTTTCAGTGGAGAGCCCCTTTGGGTCCCTGGAGTTTACTTTGGGCTGATATGTATATATTATTCTGTAGCAACAGTCAATTTGATTGAAGTTCTAACCTACTGGGGACCACGAGCCAGAACCTGGCCCCCTCAGAGAGGCACAAGAAGAGCATTGGCTTATAGACACTCACCGTGTGGTTGGAAGCAGTCTATATCTGCCATCTACTGAGTCAGGCACCCAGAAAGGTAGGAATTCCAAAACTAACTCCACCTGGTGAAAATTGCAAACCGAAAGCAGAACTAGCAAGCAGAGCTTCTCAATCAGAAAACAAGCAAATAAGCATGACGTCACCACAACCACTGTGCCGCTGTCTGCACAGCTCCCTCCTTCCCGGGAGGGAAACGGTGAACCCCAGACCCCTTGCGCCGGCTACCCAATCTCAGTTCTGAGGCTGTTGTGTTCCATGGCGGTCGTTCGACTCTGGCTCCTGTCTCTGTGCAGTGCTGTCCCCTGGCTGTGTGGTTCTGCTGTGTTGTGGTGTGCGAACCAGGAGTAATTTCAGAAGTACTGGGACTGCATGCGCATAGGGCTATCTTCCTTAGGTGCCCTGTAAGTACTGCCCTTGCAGCTTGAGGTTGCCTTTCACAAGTCACTTGGGAACTATCTCCATTGGGATCTTTTACTGCTCAGTGATTGCCCGCCCTTGGGGTCAGCTGGGGTTTTCTTAGCCTCAGTTTGGCCCTGGGTAGGAGGTAGTATCGTCGCTGGTAGAGGCAGAAGGTATTCTGCTGTTTGTCTTATTATATCATTGCAGCGGCTCTGTTTCCCCTGGAGACGTTGCGCTTTTGTGGGGTTTTCTTTTCTTTTTCTTTTTGCCTGGTGAGGGGTCTGTCCCTTAGTCTTAGTTCACCCTGTTATTCTGGTGATCCTCCGCTCAGCCCCCCTGTGATTGTACTCGTCGCAGGGGTTCAGCTTTATTTGTTCTCTTGGTAGTTTTGGGCACCAGTTAGCAGTACCTTGTCTGGGCTTCCTATAGCAGTCAGCCTAAAGGACCTGGAAAACCCCACTGGAGCTCATTGGTCCGATGGATGCATCCTCTGAGTCACATCTCGCTTCGTGCAAGTTTGAAGGTTGCTCTGTTCTCTTCTCTCAGGTTGACACTCACCATTTTTGCTTCTGTCATTCTGCCTGCTGGGTTGATGACACCTTTGACCTGGAGCCCTGCGAGTGGTGTTCCTTGCTGGTGCTCCATTCACCCAGTCTTGATCTTGGGTTCAGGCAGCTTCGGCATTGAATGCGAATCCAGGTTGCCTACCTGGATACCCTGAGGCTGCCCCATTTTCGTGTCGGTCAGTGTTGCCCTTCTCTCCCTTGCTCCCGACTTCCTGATGCTTGTGGAGTTCAGGGGCAGGATGGGGTATCATTGGTGTGAGACTTGGACAGCTTTGGGGGCTGCCCCATCTGGGTCGGGGACGGAGGCAATTGAGCCTGTTCCTTCTGCCAAGGCTTCTGGGTCTTACCAACCTTCCTTCTGCCTTTCCATTAGGCTCTGTCTTTTCTCCAAGGGCAGAGGGCGTGGAGGTTGACTCTGCCCTGGGGCCCGTCGGGGGGATTCTTGGGGCTTTGGGGGGAACCTACTCACAGTGTTGGGCCATTGCACCTTCTGGGTGGGGTGTTTGTCCCCTCCTTCCCGGCTGTGGGGGATTTTCCACATTAACGGGTGTGTTTTGGTGCATTTGCACCAGGTGCATTGCTTTTTGGCTGCTTTCTTTTGGATGGCCATTTTCCTGTGAGTGTCTCTGTGGTTTGCCACCAGGGCGGTGTTACATTTTGTTTATATGTGGCTGTGTGTGGGCTCACGATTTTTGGACATTTGTCGCCTCCTACTGGAGGTTTTATCCTCCTGCTGCTGTTTCTCTGTATGTTGGTATGATTGTGTGCGTGTGTGTGTGTTTTCTGGCCACCTGTTTACGTTTTTCTTCCACCGGCGTGTGTGGTGGTTCAGGCTTCCCCTGAGTGCGTTTCTGGGTTCCCTTGGGTATTTTGGCTTCGTTTTCAGGTTTCCTCCGGATTTTCAATGGGAGAGGTTTAGGGGCCCTTGGTGGCTCTCTCCTGTATGCACAGGTCTTGGCCTCTCCTCAGGTCCTAGCCTCTTCTGAGTGTCGTTCCCTGTCCCCATCCTGGGGGTCTTCGGTGGTTTCTGGGGTCTTCCTGGCTTGCAGACAACTTTGCTTAGGCCTGGGCCCCTGGCTTTTCGTTTTTTCATAGTCTGTCAGTTTTGGTTGGTATTGTGTTTTCTGCTGTTTTGCAGGAGGCTTCTGCTTGTTGCCTTCCTCTTGCTGCTTTTTGCTGGTCCGAGGAGGGCATTTCTCGCACTCCTGGACTGGTTGGGGGGAGGGCACTTGACAGGGCACTGGGGGAGGGGTGGATGGGGCTGTTTGCTCACGCCTAGTCCCGCACTTCATGGGCGTTTTGGATTGTCTCCTCCTGTCTGTAGTGGAGTTGGGTGGCTCCTCCTCCTCCTCCGGGTGGTTCAGGGCTCATGCGGCTGGGCTCTTCCCCATGTGTTTCGTCGGGTCATCTTGGAGTGGGTGCGCTTCAGAGTGGTCATTCGACCTCAAGCTCCGGTGGGTTCCCACTTGTTTCCAGTACCGGAATGGGTCTGTGCAGTTCTGCGGTTCATTCTGGACTTGTCTCGTTTGAACCACTTAATTCCTTGCCCCTCCTTTTTTGGATGACTTCTATATCCCCATTTCCGGCTTCTTTTGGAGCTGGGGTGTCGGATGGTGTCCCAGGCGTCATAGGGCAACTGGCTTCACGCTTTTGTTGCCTTTTGGTTTGGCCCTGGCATCTCACGTATTCCACATCTTACCTGGTTCATGGTGGCCTGTCTTAGTCTGCTAGGGATTCAGGTGGCCTACCTCAACTTCTGGTTGATGTGGGGTTCCCAGCCGGTCTGCTTGTCTGCTTGACAGAGGGGTGGTTCCTCCCTAGCTCGCCAGGTTCAGGTTCCTGGTTTCCTGGGGATAGTCCTACCTTGTTCCTTCTCCGGTTCGGACCTGGCTGGGTCTTGTGTGGCAATCTCAGACCACTTCTTTATCTCTCCCTTTGGAGTCAGTCGCTGCTGCGACTGCTGTCTGCCTTTGGCTGTTTCTGGGGAGCTCCCAGGTTACTCGTCGGTTGCTCGAGCAGCTGTGCAGGAGTTTGCACTTTGCTGTGCTGGTTTACCCACAGGGTCGGGTCTGGCTTTTGCATCTGTTCTGGTTTAGTGTTTTTAGGGTTTAGTGTCGTTGCGCGCCTACCCGAGCCCTCGCTCGATGTGTTCACGGATGCCTCGTCTCTCAGCTGGGTCTTTGTGACCAGTGCTCACCAGGTCGGCCGAGGTCGATGGAGTCTGTCCTTCCGTCGTGCTCACAGCACGATGTAGGAGTTCGCGGCTGTGTGGCAGTCGCTTTGGAAGGTTTGCGTTGCTCACAAATTGCCGTAGGCTCCATTCAGACTGCACCCTGGTAGTTCATTGCCTGAACTGTGGGGGGGGGGGAGGTTGATGCGGTCCTTGGCTCTTTGGGGCTACTGTAGTCGCTTTGGGTGACTTATCTGCTGGATTCTCAGGGTTTGGCTCTCCTGACAGTTCATATTCGGGGAGTGTCCAACAGCCTGTCTCGGTTCATTCCCGTCTCCAGAATGGACCATCGATACTGAGTCGTTCAGTTGGCTTTGCCGGAGGTGGATCTCTTCGTGTCAGCATGGTGAAGGCATCGCCCATTATATGTGGCATTCTTCCCCATCTGCGAAGTCGTCGGGGTCGATGCCTTTCGGCTGAACTGCTCGAGGTGGGGTTACTTGTACCTCTTTCCCCTGTTCGGTTTTTGCTCCGGGTCCTGGTTCACTTGAAGACTTACCAGAGGAGGGTAATCCTGTTGGCCCCTTGGTGGCTGGCTCAGCCTTGGTTTCAGGTGCTGCTTGCTCAGTGTCCAAATCCGTGGGTCTTCCCAGCTTCACCTCTTTCAGCAGATCAGTCCGGTCCGGTACGTGGCTGGTTCGATCTTCTCCAATCTTCATGTCTGGTCTTTTTTTTGACGTGTGTTTATCACCACTTGTATGGTGATCAGGTGGCTTCATTGATGGTGTCCCACCTGCGAATTTCATCTCGGTGGCAGTTTGACGGTTCCTGACGGTCCTTTCCCGGTTTTTTGTCTCTTCATAGGATGTCTTCTATTTCTGATTGGGTTGTTTTGTCCTTTCTCTCTCGGTTGTTTCCGTCATCTTATGCTGAATACGGTCGCCTCGTATCATGGGTCGTTGGCGAAGCAGTGTCTGCTTGCGCTCTGGGTGGATGTCACTTCTGCTTCATTTCACAAGCTTTCTCAGTTGTTGTTTCACCTCTGGCCTGCTCATGAGCTGCTTGAGCCATCCTGGCCTTTGTGCTGGGTGCTCTCTTCTTTCTCTCTCTTTTCTCCTTGGTTTGTTGTGGCCCCTTTCGGTTCAGGACTGTTTTTCTAAGGCTTTTTTTTTTTTTTTTTCTTGTTGGTATTGGCCTCTGAAGGTCGGGTCAGGGAGCTTTGTGCCTTCCTCCTGCAAAGGGGTTCCTGGCCTTTTGGTCCTGGTGCTCGGTTTGTTTGTTTGCAGCCATTTCCTTCTTTTGTGGTAAAGAATGAGACTGCTGCTTTCCGGAGGGGTCCTTGGGTTGTTGCTTGGTTGGTTGGTTCGGCCGGGGGTGCATAATGTATTGTGTCTGGTTGCGGCTCTTCGCCGTTACTTGCGCTCCACGCCACCATGATGCTGTGGTGACATCATGCTTGTTTTCTTGTTTTCTGATTGGGAAATTATGCTTGCTGGTTCGGCTTTCAGTTTGCAATTTTCGCCAAGTGTAGTTTTTGGAATTCCTACCTTTCTAGGTACCTGACATGGTAGATGGCAGACATAGACTGCTTCCAACCACTCGAGGGTGTCTATAGGCCATTGCTTCTCTTGCCTCTCTGAAGGGGCCAGGTTGTGGCTCGTGGTTCCCGGTAAGTTAGAACTCCAATCGAATTGACCATTGTCACGGTTTTATATATACATATCAGCCCATTAAGCTCCGGGGAGTGTCCGGGTCTCACCCAGAAAATTACTTTCGTTACATTCAACGTTGGTTTTTTATCCTTCATATTTAATAGTTTATATTGTACTGTAAATAAAGTTTTTATTGTATTCATTATACAATATAGTACAGTATCTAAATGAGATTTTGATAATATATATTATGCCATTTATAATATACATCATATATGTAATTTTTTCTGAAGGGCTTGGCAAAGAAGCTTCGTTCCTGTGGGATTAATACTGAAGCATTAGACAATGGTGAGAGTTGTGATCATTGCATTGAATATTATGAAAAGGAGAAGAGAGTGGTTCTCACCCGTGGTGTATCATACACCCGACTGTGCAAATACATTCCTGCCGAGTTTGTATACTGTGTTCAAAGTGAGGTGAGTCAATCAAGAAAATCATTATCTTCAAATCAGATATAAGTAATAATTAAAAAATTTTTATTTTGAGATGTATAATCTTAATTTACTATAATGAATATGTATACTGTATATTTATCCCTTCTACTGTGCATCCTTGGTGAATCAGGTGCCTTTGATGTTGTTCGCCTTATGCACTTTTGTTCTTGTATTGGCATCCTTAGTGATATTTAGCGCCTTTTGAATATCCCGCACTTTTGACAGTGCTACATAGCCTTCCCGACTTGGTGCCTTTTTTTTTATAATTATGTTCAGAAACAGGTGGTGGGAAACGACTCTGGCGCAGTTACGTATTGGTCATACCTGCTTAACTCGCAGGCAGTTAATGGTATGCCGCCCGGTTTTCTTTATTGTCCAAACTGCATTGTCCCTCTTAAGGTCACACATATGTGACCTTATGTTAAATGTCCTGACTTCCAGGATGTGACTGTGTCTTGCTTCCCAACTGTCCCTCGTGGTCACCTGTCCCTTGATAGCATCCTTGGTGAATTAGATGCCTTTGATGTTGTTTGCCTTATGCACTTTTGTTCTTGTATTGGCATCCTTAGTGATATATAGCGCCTTTTGAATATCTAGCACTTTTGACGGTGCTACATAGCCTCCCCGACTTGGTGCCTTCTTTTGATAATTATTTATGTTCGGAAACCAAAAAAGTACAAAAACAATGAAATTCTTTACAAAGAATTCAAGCGCGGTCGTCACTGGGCAGATAGGCGGGATACACTGGTAAACAAAAGCCCCGCGCCCCAGCACCACGTGCTTGTTCGACCCAGACATGTATCAACAGATGTCGTATTTCAAGGTAAACGATGTACATCGATTCAAATTTTACGATGTTCATTCTGAAACTGTTCATTTCATCTTTGATATTGAGTATATACCACTTACAGTATACTGGGTGGCTGTGCCACCGAAGGCTGGCACAGCCTTCGGTGCCGTCTGTTTCTGTGCGGCGCGGGGATCGCCCTGTGTGTCATTTAGATGCTCGTAAGGTGCGTCGGCCCTTTCGCGGTCTGTCCCATTGATGGGAAGGTGGGAGGAAGCCGGATGCTTGGATGGTGTCCCTGGACCTCAAGGACGTGTATTGGCAAGTCCTTATTCATCCGAGGTTCAGGGACTGGCTCGGTTTTGTTGTAGGGCATCGAGGTTACTGCTTTCGTTGCCTTCCATTCGGCTTGAATCTGGTGCCATGCGTTTTCCCATGCATTACTTGGGTCATGATGGCCCGCCTAAATCTGTTCGGTGTTCAGGTTCTGGCCTACCTCGATGTCTGGCAGGTTGGGATCCCAACCAGCCCGCGTGTCTGCTCCCCAGGGATTTGGTTCTTTCCCAGCTCGCTGGGTTTGGGTTCTTGGTGAACTGGCGGAAGTCCCATCTAGTTCCCTCTCAGGTTCAGTCTTGGCTGGGTCTTGTGTGGGACACTCGGGCCACTTCCTTGTCTCTTCCTCCAGTGGCTCTGCTTCGCCTGCATTCTCGCCTTCATCTATTCCTGAAGGGCTCCCGAGTCATGTGGCGGTTGCTTGAGGGTTTGTGCAGGAGCCTGAACTTTGCCATGATGATCTACCCGCCGAGTAGGCTGTAGCTTCGTTGGCTGTTATGGTTCCTTTGGGACCGTCACTTCCGCCTCTCTCACAATTGCTGGATTCAGCCTCCGGGGGCTTTGTGGCGGTTGCTGCGTCACCAACTTCCTATTCATGTTTTTTGGGGTTCAGTACCTCCCCGAGCTCTCACTTGATGTGTTCACGGACGTGTCGTTTCTTGGCTGGGGCTTTGTGACCAGTGCTTGCTAAGCAGGCCAGGGGTGGTGGGGTCTGTCCCTTCGTCGGGCTCACAGCATGGTGCAGGAGTTCGCGGCTGTGTGGATGTCACTCCGGTGGATTCTGGTCACTCGCGGATCAACGATCCGGCTCCATTAGGACTTTTCCCTGGTGGTTCATTACCTGAACCGTGGGGGTTTGATACTGTCCTTGGTTCTTTGGGGCTGGTCACTTCGGGTGATTCATCTGCCGAGTTCTCGGGGTTTGACTCTCCTGGCAGTTCACGTTCAGGGGGTTTCCATTGTCGTGGCGGACAGCCTGTCCTGCTTCGTTTCCCTTTCCACTGAGTGGACAGTCGACACCGTTCTGGTAGGCCATGGTGTGAATGAGGGAGTGAGGGAATGAGGGAGCCGGTCGGCCGAGCGGACAGCACGTGGGACTTGTGATCCTGTGGTCCTGGGTTTGATCCCAGGTGCCGGCGAGAAACAATGGGCTGAGTTTCTTTCACCCTATGCCCCTGTTACCTAGCAGTAAAATAGGTACCTGGGTGTTAGTCAGCTGTCACGGGCTGGGGGTGGAGGCCTGGTCGAGGACCGGGCCGCGGGGACACTAAAAAAAAAAAAGCCTCGAAATCATCTCAAGATAACCTCAAGATAACCAAATCGTTCAGTTGGCTCTGCCAGACGTTCGGGACTCCGGAGGTGGACCTCTTCGCGCCGGCATGGTCGAGGCATCTCCCGGTATACGTTGCGCCCTTCCCCAACTGCAAGGCTGTTGAGGTCGATGCCTTCAGGCTGGACTGGGCAAGGTGGGGTTACCTGTACCTCTTTCCCCCGGTTTAGCTGTTGCTCCGGGTCCTGGCTCGCTTGGAGACTTACCAGGGGAAAGTTGTCCTTCTGGCTCCTTGGTAGCCGGCCCATCCTTGGTTTCAGGCGCTGCTTGCTTGGTGTCTGAACCCGAGGGTCTTCCTGCGGCTCTGCCTCTTTCAGCAGATCCATCCAGCCCGTTACGTGGCTGGTTCGTTTTTCTCCTTGAGTCTTTGCATCTGGAGTTTCTGACTCTAGTCTATTGTAACTTGTATGGAGCACAGGTGGCTTCGCTGTTGGTCTCCCACGTGCGTGCTTCGTCTAGGCGGCAGTATGAAGTTTCCTGGCGGTTCTTCAGGTTTTTCCTATTACTGCATAGCTGTACTTCCGTCTCTGATAGGGTTGTTTTGTCCTTCCTTTCATGGTTATTTCAGGACTCATCTTATGCTGAATACTATCACCTCATATTGTGCGGCGCTGGCGGAGCCGCTCCAGCTTGCGTTCGGTATTGCTGTTACTTGTGCTCTGTTCCGCAAGTTGCCTCGTGCTTTGTTTCACCTCGAGCCTTCTCATGCTCTGCCTTAGCCATCACGGTCTTTGGACCATGTGCTGTCTTTTCTTTCTTCTCCTCAGTTTGTTGTGGCCCCTTCGGTTCAGGACTGTTTTTCTAAGGCTCTCTTTTTTCCTGTTGGTGTTGGCCTCTGGGGGGTCGGGTTGGGGAGCTTCATGCTCTCCTCCAGCACAGGGGTTTCTGCTCTTTTGGTCCTGTGGTAGGTTTGTTTGGTTGCAACCGTCTCCTCCTTTTCTGGCGAAGAATGAGACTGCTGCTTTCTGGAGGGGTCCTTGGGTTGTTGATGCTTGGTTGGTCAGGCCAATCTGACCTTGGGGTGTGCATCGTGTGTTGTGTTTGGTTGCGGCTCTCCGCCGTTGTCTTCGTGTCTTGGCCTCTCTGGTCGTGGACTCACTTTGGGGCCCGGGTTTCCTGCCTTCCTTCCTGTTACGGGGTTCAGGTCTCCCGGGTCGTTCCCGGGGTCCTTCGGTTTTGCTGGGTATCTTGTTTTTGTGTTAGGGCGCATGGCATCCACCTCCCGGGGTCCTTCCCTCTTTTTCCTAATATTTTGTGAGATAGCTCTGGGGAGCCGACGGGGCTTCCCCCAGTGTTTTCGCATGTTTTGACATCCAGCCTAAGAACTGAAGGATGGATCGCCAGCGTGAGGTTCTGTTGTGTTGGTCTCCCCCTTCCCCCTCTCAGGGAGGAAAGGATTGTGCAGACAGCGGCGCAACAATGTAATGACATCATGCTCGTTTGCTAATTTTCGTTTGGGAGTTCTGTCCACTTGTTCGGCACTCGGTAGCAATATTTTCACCAGAATAAGGGTTTGTTTTGGGGTGTCAACCTTTCTGGGTGCCAGACCCGGTCGATGGCCAACATAGAATGCTCCAAACCACATGGGGGGCTTCTATAGGCCCCTCATGCCTCTCTGAGGGGGTCAGGTTCTGGCTCATGGTCCCTGGTAGGCAAGAACTCTATGCACATTGACTGATGCCAGAAAGCTAATATATCCATATCAGCCTGGATAGCTCCGGGAAGCCTCTGGGTCTCACCCAGAAAATGGCGTTTCATTACATTCAACGGTGTTTTTTTTTTGTCATTCTTGTGTAACTGAGTCAGAACAACAGTGGTGTAAATGTTCCAAGTATCTGAGTGTGATTATTATTATTATTATAAACTGGTTTTCTTCATTTGTATAGTTAAAAATATCTGTCAATTTGAATACAGTACATACATGAGAATAATGTTCATGTAATTATTTTCTCATTATGTGTGGTTATCAGGATGATTATAAATTTCCTTTCCTACTGTAGCTTTGTCTCATAGGTCCATGATAAAAAATCTCTATGAATCTGATTCCCTTAACATTTCTTGTTTTAAATGATGTCCAAGAACTTTGGAATATATTTTGAGACAGTGCTATATATATACATCTCATTACGTGCACACACGGGTGTATACAGTAGTCCTAAGACCTATGGAACTTGTAGAGATAGGAACTTATTAACACTTGTATCCCAAAAACAGTTCAAACCAAATTTTAAAACCGAATAACAATTCCTGGCATCCTGTGCTTTAGAGACTCAAGCTTGTGCCTGTGGAAGTTATGCAATTACAAGATATTACAAAACATCATTATAGGTGCCACTGTAGTAATGATTCAGTCATTATAGTGAACAGCAAAGTCACTAGAAATGTCATAATGCTGATGTTTCACCCTGCAAGCACAGTCATTGAAGTATATACATAAGTACAAAACATTTATGCATATATACTATATATGACTTAATGTGTGAATGTTACTGTATGTGTGTGTGTGTGTGTTTTCCGTATATTTGTATTTCCTGTATTCTGTATATGCCTGGCCACACTAGAGTTTATTTTCAAGCATTACTGGGGGGGGGGAGTGAAAGGGCTAATGTATGCATGTGAAAGTTCTGGTAAGGCAGCTACACCCTTTAATCATATTAATTGCATCTTTTATTGTAGATGGCCCAAGCGCAACTAGCAGAGATAGTGAAGGTATTCAACATAAAGGTTACCGTAAATGATGTATTTGCAAGGTGCTCAAAGTGCAACTCTCCATCTTACATATGTGTGCCTTCCTCTGTCCTCCTTGCTCTGTCAGAAAAGAAGTGTAGTAGTAGTGTAAGTAAGGCAATAAAAGATGAGTGGGTTGAGTGCCAAGGTGGGCATATTAATCTGGCAACTGGTCTCACAAAAGATGGAGTTATGATTCAAGTGGAACAAATACCTGATTCTGTGTTGCAAAAAACAGAATTATTCTATGTATGCTGTCAGTGTGGGAAGTGCTACTGGGAAGGATCGCATCACAACAGAATTATAGATGGAAGACTGAAGGATATTATCGAAGATGAAAAACCAGGAAATAGTGTTGAGAATTGCCAGATCCTTAGACAGATGTGTGACTGTCCTGTGCAGAGTCCTGCTCAACATGGCAGCAGGGAAGCACCAGCAGAAGCCTCTATACATGTAATGGAGGAACATAAAGCAAACTGCAAATCATTTGCTGATATTCCACTGTCACACAATGAATTATCTGCAAGTTCTGATGTTGAGGTCTGTGATAGTATGAACTGATCGGTAATATAAATCCTTCGTGTAATGACTACGTATGAAAGAAATATTAATGATTATATTTATTAAAAGCACTTAGATAATTTTATTTTTATATTTCGTGATAACTTAGGAATATGGATTTACCTTTCTTAAAGATTTATGTAGTTGCTCATCAAAATTGTTTGTGAAGACACACATTGTGAACACATTGTTTTTGAACACATGCATTGTTTTTTAACACATGCATTGTTTTTTAACACGTGCATTGTTTTTTAACACATGCATTGTTTGTGAGCACATACATTGTTTGTGAACACACACATGATTTGTGAACATTGTATGCGAACACACATTGTGAAAACACATTGTTTTTATACAAATATTTTGTATTCTAGGAATTTTATTGCCAAGAAGAATTTTTTTTCTGTTATTTTGTAGTGATAAAAGAGTTTGTTCAAGATGTGTGCATAGTATTTTTAGGACAGTGTTATGGGGGGGTATTATCTTCACATTTGGTCACATTTTCATTATTAAAATTATCTTTCATGTATAACATAATTGTCAAGCTTTCATGCAGGGTTGTAAAATATTCACATCATTTCTCATCACATCCTGGGTTATGGACACTTTTGCAAAACGGTAGCACAAGACACATATTATGCAACATAGTATATCAAATACATTAGTAATTTTTACAATACAGTAGTGTAAATAAGGAAAGAGAAGAGTGAAGCCTATGAAGCATTAGTAATGCCAGAGAGGACTAGATTTATTGTGTTGGGGTCTATAGTTGATATATGGATCCAGTAATATATAATGTTAGGGCACACACATGCACGCACGTATGTACGCACACGCTATACTCGGAGACGTTGCTCAGTTTTTTATGCAGGTTAATATTTTTTCTATTTAGCACTTCAGGAAGGTTTAAATGGAAATATGTCCTTAGTAGGCAGTCATTGTTGGAGATAATGATACACACAATACACTTCTTGTGTATTGTGTGATACATTTTTTGTATTGCATTTTTGATACAATGAAAGATGTTCAACAGTCACAGTATTCAAGAATTAGTTAATGAACTGTAAACATTTCCCAATATTTCGAAGGCACAAAGAAAATTTTTTACTATACCATCATTGTTGTAAAAGTAATAATTCAATTCCTGCCAACTGGAAGATGAGAGTAGGCTAACAGTTACAAAGATTATAGCTTGATAGCCATATTGGTTTAGTGCTTTATTTTAATAATTACTTGACCACAAATATTACATTTGAGTAAATTATAATTGTTAATGACATGCTTCAGGCTATAAATTCTTGACATTAAATTCACCTTCAAGCTATCTATAGGCCCAGATAATGTTGAATCAAAACCAAAATTGTATATTGTACAAATTTATAAATTTAATTATGTACACTGTTTGCATAGAGCTGGGAAAATGTGTGTGACTCTTGAGTAAATTGAATGATGGTGTGAACATGTTGAAGACTAGTTCATCCTTCACGCTGAACTGATGTCTGGACATCTGCTCCACCTGACATTCTCTGCCAAATGTGATGTTGATTTTGACCATTATGTTTTGATTCTCTCGTCTGATATTTTCCTTCAGCAACCCAGATTGATACATTGCCCAGCTCACTTATCACTTGGGGGGGGGGGGGTCACAGGGAATTTTATATTTTTCTTCCATTTTCCATTGGCGGTTTGGCTAAGAGGTGCTAGGGGTTGGCTCTTAGTGTGCCTTAACCCTATGGCTGCGCAAGTAATTTTACCATGCAACACTCAGGTGTGCATAAAATAAATTGCTCTGAAAAAATTATTTGTTCTTTTTCCACTGTTAACACTTTGCAGCTCCCGGTGCACGCGCCCCAGCCTACCTTAAGGTGGGCCAGGCATTTCGCGTGAGAGCACAGCCATACTAAAATGTGTATTCTCTTTTCAGTTTTCTCACCTCAATTTGCACTGTATGTTGTTCATTTTGGTATCAAATTGTACGCAATAGAATTCCCTACAGAAGTATATGCATATAAAGTTAAAAAGCCTGGCGTGCCACACGCAGCAAACCCAAAAATCAGCCAAGCATTACCCGTGAGCAAGCACCCATCTGCACACCCACACTAAGATGTGTTTTTTCACAGCAATTTTCGTGTTACATCGTTCATTTTGGTATCAAAATGTCTGCAATAGAATTCTCGAAAGGGATATACAGTATCCGTATAAGGTCAAAATGCCCGGCGTGCCACCAGCAACAAACCCGAAAATCGGCAGAGTGTTACCCACGTGCACGCAACCACTAAAATGTGAATACTCTTTACAGTTTTCTCACGCCAATTGTCGTGTTACATCATTTATTTTGGTACCAAATTGTTCGCAATAGAATTATCTAAAGGGATATATGTATGTAAGGCCAAAAAGCTAGGTGTGCCACCTTCAGCAGACCTGAAAATCGGCCGAGTGTTACCCGTCAATTTTCGTGTTACATCGCTCATTTTAGTATCAATTTGTTTGCAATAGAATTCTCTAAAGGGGGGAAGAGAGAGAGAGATAGATAGAGATATATATATAAGATAAGAATAAATATGCACGTTACCCACAGCAAACTAGAAAATCCACCAAGCGTTACCCATGAGCAAAACAACAGCGTCTCTCTAGGTGATTAACAGTGCACAAACAAGGCTCCATCAAGGAGCATATAATCTCACACAACCAGACCATCACCAGAGACATCTTAACAAGCAATACTGAAATAATCCACCGGTATAACGACAACAGAAGACTGGACAGTCAAATGCAGTCTCCGTGGTGTAGTGGTAAGACTCGCCTGGCGTTCAGCGAGCGCTTTGTCCTGGGTTTGTATCCTGGCTGGGGAGGATTTACTGGGTGCAAATCCTTAACTGTAGCCTCTGTTCAACAGTAAAATGGATATTTGGTTGTAAAAACGATTCTTTGCGGTGGTCGTATTCCAGGGAACATAGGATTAAGGACTTGCCCGAAATGCTACGCGTACTAGTGGCTGTACAAGAATGTAACAACTCTTGTATATATATAAATAAAAAAATAAAAAAGACATCAGCGAGGACCTATATACACATCAAAAAGTCAAGACCAGCAATCAACAACCAGTTAATTAACACATAATTACATTCTTTCCCTCTTCAAGGCCCCAAACCAACACAGACTAGAAGCAAGAACATAAGCTGCTTATGTTCATGCATGTAATAGCCTATATAATATCCAGTGTTTCATCCACTTGTTCATCTCAATCACATCCTGTACCACCTCACCCCCAAGCGAATACAGTATAAGCCTTTTGCAAAAACATGGTAAATTCTAGAGGCAGATCAAGAGGGCAAAGTAAAATCGCCACCTCCTCCGCCTCATCATGTTCATCCAGAGCAAGAAGCAGAAAGATCAGCAAATCTATTTGTTTCAAGAGCCAGTTCCACTCAACTTCCTCAAGCAACTCTGACTCACCTGTTTGAAGAAAGACTTCAAACAGCAAGATGGAAAAAAATAGATGATGCTTTAGCCTTACCTGATGAACTAGACCAACCTTTCAATCTGAAAGAACTCAGAAGAGCTACAAAGAAAACTAAAAACACAGCTCCAGGTGAGAACAAAATTACTTATAATATGCTGGCCAGGTTAGGAGAAAAGGGTGAAGAAGCATTCTTGAATCTCATCAACAGAGTATGGATGACAAGAACTTGACCACTCTTGGAATAGTGCAATTATAGTTCCCGTTCTAAAACTCAAAGACCCAGGAAATCCAAGACCCATCTCATTAACAAGCTGTCTGGCCAAAACTGCGGAAAGAATGGCTCTTAATCGAATTGACTGGAAAGCCAGTCCACTACACCAAAATATGTTTGCTTACAAAAAAAAAAGGTGTGGGAACCACAGAATGCCTTACCTCACTCCTGGATCAAATAAATGACAGATTTCAGGAATCAGGATTTCAGGATTTCAAGTAATCTAGGAATCCTTATTTTTCTTGACCTAGAAAAAGCCTTCAAGCTAGCCAATGCTCCAGCTACACAGTGCTGCCTGGTTGATAAGGTAATCAAAAGACACGCTCTTGCCTTGGTTGGAAGATCCCTTGCGATGTGGTACGAACAAGTCACTGGGTACTACTCATTCAAGCCTGGCAAAGAGACATCCACACATTTTGCAGTAGCCATACACAGACTCAGACTTGGTTACAAGTACTACTGGGAGGTAATAAACTCAATAGTTTAAGAGTGTCATATCTGTGGAACAGATGCAGAAGCACCACTATTGCATTACTTATTGGAATGTGAAGCAACTGAAGCCCTGCACATCAAACTCAACATTAATCCAACAACAGCAGCAGCTGCATTAAATGCAAATTTCACAGCAACTACAGTGATTAGAAAAGCAGTTGAAGAATGAGACACACTAGTGAACATTGTGCATCTACATCCGTCACCAAGATAATGTTAACAAGACTATAACTAGTGTGCTAAAACAGAAGCGAAAAAGAAACGGGAGGGGTGAAGGAGGAAACCCCCACCTCCATTTAAAACTTTGGCCCAAATATTACAGTAACAAGGTTATCGCGAATAATCAAATTCAATTATGTGCTCACTATAGCCCGTGCTACATGGATATTTCATTCTGAGTAGCTAAAATCTATAACAACAATAATGTATCAACATCCTATGGCATCTTATGTTCTTCTTGCTGCTTGTGTTAGTAATGTAGGGTCATTCGATCCTATCTCTGCAGTGTTTCGGGGTCTTGGAGTGAGTAGAATGTAATTATGTGTTAATTGGTTGTTGATTGCTGGCCTTGACTTTTTGATGTATAGTGCCTCACTAAGGTTCAGTCTTCTGATGTTGTTATTCCTGACCATTATTTCAGTGCTGCTTGTTAAGATGTCTCTGGTGCTGGTCTGGTTAAGTGTGGAGAATATATGCTCCTTGATGGAGCCCTGTTGCTTGTGCATTGTTAATCGTCTAGAGAGAGACATTGTTGTCTTGCCTATAGGTTGGCTATAATATTCTGGTAGAACAGTCGGGTTCGTTCTCAACACACAATTGAGAATTCCGGGTTTGAGTCCCAGGTGGGACAGAAATGGAGGGGCACATTTCCTTTCACCTAATGACTCTGTTCACCTAGCAGTGAGTAGGTAGTCAGGAGTTAGTCGGCTTGTTGTGGGGTTACATCCTGGGTGGGGTCTGTAATTCCATTTTGAGAGGGGGGGGGGGGTGCGACCTCGATAAAATAAAAAAGACAAACATGTATGAATACACTCTGGCTTCCTGTCCCTTAACACTGAGTTATATACTGAGATTTTTGGGGCTGACAGTCCCCAAGTGGGCATGTGAAGGCATAGACGATGTTGGTTTCTCTTAATGCGTTCTGCTTGGTGTCTGGAGAGTTCTTTGTAAGTAAGTTGGCGGTCTTCTTGTTTTTGTAATGTATTGTTAATTGTATCTTCTGATTGGTGTCTGTGGTGATAACATTCCTATCAATAATATCTTTCAGGACTCTTTCCTCCATTTTATAAGCCACGGAAAAGAGGTTCCTGTAAAATAATCTGATAGAGGGTACAGGTATTGTGCTTGTTGCCGCCGAGATGTACGAGTGAGCACAAGCCCTTTAACTCCCAACAGTGAGGACTCCAGAGAGCAAAAAAGAAGCACCAGAGAGTGATATATCAAGTGAACAAATTCACAAGGGCCTTGATGAGGGTTTGAACCTATGCGCTGGATGTTCCCAGAAGTGCTCTAGTCAACTGTAAGCACTCCATGTTGCAATTCTTTTCCACGTGGTGGTACAGTTGACTAGAGCGTGTCTGGGACCATCTAGTGCATAGGTTTAAACCTTAATCAAGCAGCCCGTTTGCTTACAAATTACGTCGCTTTTCGCTCAGGTGCACTACGGCAAAAATCGCCGAATTGGAATTTAAAAAAAAAAATTAAAATTAATTTTTCAAATGAAATGGACCAAAAACAGCAAGTTAAAGGTCCTCTGGTAGGTTAGGGCAGCAGGGAGTTCTCCTAAGGTTTCAAAATGTCATGAAAACTGTTAATTGAAAGTTTCCTCTACTAACCTGACCGAGTAAGCCCCAAAACAGAAAACAGGATCGTACATCACTCTCGTGAGCCGATTTCATTTTGTTACAATCATTTCTGGCTTAGTACGCATACGAGCAAAAAGCGACTTAATTAATAAGAGGACGGGTTGCATCAAGGACCTTTTGGTTTTATTTATTTGATATATCACGATATTGTGATTCCTGTGTGAAATAATAATAATAATGTTTATTTAAAGTATACAGAACATGATACAGCAGCATTGGTGGCTTAACCACAACTGCAGGAATAGAGCCAACATGTAATGGGTTTAGATTTAGAATTTTCAAAGACTACAAACTACTACAGAGAGCTGGATTAATTCTGAAATTGAACATACAATATACAGTAGTTTAGTTAATTCGTTTCCTGGATGTACATAATTTATACGGCCCATCCTTCAAAAATGACTGCCTACAGCATGGATTTAGGCCTAAGTACCAATACGTAGTGTTGGACTCCAACATGTTCACGTTTAGTAGTACTGAATTAGCCCAAATTACATTCTCTTCAATACAAAATCAAACTAAATCACCTAACCTAATTTGTCCTTGCAATCTTAGGCCTAATACTATCTTAGTACTTATGTGTGCTATACTAGGTCTATGAATGTTTAAGTTTGATTTTAACCGTTATTTCTCGTATATAAAATTTAAAGTACAAAATGTTAACTTTGTGCTTGTTCATCACTACATATTGGTACTTAGGAGCAGATAGTTGCCAATAAATACTCATTTCAGGCGCATAGGTGGGATTGTTGGCAAGTTATGTGACCGCCGGAGCTGCACTGCGGTGCTGACAGCTTTGTGTTGCCATGCTAACACATGTCATCATCTACCATTACAGCTTAGTGTTGCCATGCTAACACATGTCAACACCTACTACAACATGTAAACAAACCTTATACACCAAATATTTACAATCAGTTATGTGCTATTAATATTAAGCTCATCTTTCCTACTGAAAGTTTGAATAAATTTGTTGAGTAACTCGGGTTTGAGAGTTGGTGGTGGTGACCACTAGGGAGATGACGACGGTTGGTGGTGACCATTGGGGAGAAGTTGATGGTGCATCACAGTTCACACGGTGTAGAACTTGCCCTTGTGGTGTAGATAGAGTGCAGTGAGGACCCAGAGTGTGGTACCCCACAGGGTCTCCGTCAGTATGGCCAGGTGGGTGTTCATGCGACCCACAGCGTAGTGCCAAGGGAATACGTTATACGTTACGTTGTGTCCGACGTACAGGAATATGCTGTTCATTCCTGAAAAATATATTTGCTTGAGAGGCATGAAATATAATTACAGTATTTACTGAACTGTAACTGAAGTCCCATGTATAGGTGGGGAAGAGGAGAATGTCCTGACCCAGTGTGACAGGCTCTTCATCTCACCAAACTACTTTGATTGCTGCTCTCTTTATCACAATGACATCAAATACGAATTTAGTATATCATAAATAAAGATTATCAAGCAACAGAACTGCAAGCTGTAACTCAACTTTACAACATGACAGGTTTTGACAAAATATATACACCTAAAAGGTTTTGACAAAATATATACAGTACACCTGAAATGTATCACATTGGTGTCCTTTCATAGGCCTCCTACACATGCATCAATGCACACAATGGATCTTTCAATAATATGCTCACACACTTATCTTGCCACTGCCTTGTCATCAAGGAGGGGGGCATACTGGCCCAGGTACTGACCTGCCTGGTAGAAGGGGGCGCCGCTCCACACACCCCAGACGTCAACCAACAGGTAGCAGAGTGCCAGCAGGAAGCAGGCGAAGCAGGAGGTGACCATGACGAAGGAGAGCGACCTGTCAACACACCTCACTCAGAGCTCCGGTCATCAATATTCAGACGAGGTGTGATCAACATGCTTCTTACGAAATTGACTGTATTTTGTGGATACTACATGCAAACAGGTGTCCAGTGAGTTATGACTCGACCCTCACAGGCTGTTGAGTCATGAGCTCCCAGGTGCTCAGATACCAGCACCTGGTCATGTGTTACAAGGGCAGCCAACAGCAACAATCTCCCTAATCAGGGTGTCACCGAGGTAACCTGAACTCTCCTGCAAGATGAATCTGTCACATCTGCATCACCAGTCCACCCAGGTGTTGCAGACCAGGGTGGACTGTCCCACACCATGTATACCAGGTCCTGGTGTACCAGACCAGGGTGGACTGTCCCACACCATGTATACCAGGTCCTGGTGTACCAGACCAGGGTGGACTGTCCCACACCATGTATACCAGGTCCTGGTGTACCAGACCAGGGTGGACTGTCCCACACCATGTATACCAGGTCCTGGTGTGCCAGACCAGGGTGGACTGTCCCACACCATGTATACCAGGTCCTGATTTACCAGACCAGGGTGGACTGTCCCACACCATACACACCATGTATACCAGATCCTGATGTGCCAGACCAGGGTGGACTGTCCCACACCATGTATACCAGGTCCTGATGTGCCAGACCAGGGTGGACTGTCCCACACCATGTATACCAGGTCCTGGTGTACCAGACCAGGGTGGACTGTCCCACACCATGTATACCAGGTCCTGGTGTACCAGACCAGGGTGGACTGTCCCACACCATGTATACCAGGTCCTGATTTGCCAGACCAGGGTGGACTGTCCCACACCATGTATACCAGATCCTGATGTGCCAGACCAGGGTGGACTGCCCCACACCATCGCTAGTGATAATATTCAAACATTACATGAATAATTACTTTTGAAACATTTTGATCACACATCTTACTCTTATTTTGTAATTGTTTTTATTTATTATGTATAACTAAATTTGCATATATCGATAGTTACATATAATATGATCATGGCAAGAATAGTGCAGGTAGGGTATAAGATTTTTTTTTAAATTGTGATTTTTTTGTGAAATACTTTTTTTTTATATACTTTGTTTTCAAAGTATTGTATTGAAAACCCACCACAAGTTCTTGTTGACGGGGATGACACCATCGTTGATGGAGGCGGCGCAGAGACCGGCGCCCACAGCCCCCAGCAGGAGTCCCCAGGCCACCCAGCGCCCCAGGCGTCCCCTGTGGGTGTGGTGAGTCTGCACCACCATCCCGGCCTGCAGCCCCAGGAACACCTGGAAGATGGACGTCAGCGACCCTGTGTGGGGAGGGAGGGGCCGAGCGTTACTCAAGAGGGAGGGACCAAGCGTTACCAAAGAGGGATGGGCCGAACATTACTCAAGAGGGAGGGGCAGAACATTATTCAAGAGGGAGGGGCCGAACGTTACTCAAGAGGGAGGGGCCGAACATTACTCAAGAGACTTATCACTAAAACCCTCTTATTCAAAATGACACAGTGAATACTGAACTAAAAAATAAAAAATCACCTTTAGCTAACTGTTCAGAAACTCACCTTAACATTGAAAAATCCTTCTTTATTTTGTTTGGTAATAAATCCATTGATCAAATAAACGTTAATAATTAACAATATCCGAATTCCTTCATGTTCTCATTGATAACAAGTTAAATTTCCATGTGCCATATACTAAATACAGGTATAAAAAATAATTATTTTTTAAGCAATTGGCATTATTTCTAAAATCAGATACAGTATTATGTATTTCGCTATGCTCTGTTTTTTTTTTTTTCAGGGATATTCCTGCACGGTCCATAAGCCTCTGGCTGACCCACTAAGTGTTACTTGTTTCTGTTTTACTTAGGCGGAGTATGAGTAGTAATGACTCGTATGGTCGCTTCAGGAAGATTTTGCCCCATGTGTTTTATAAAGATGTTAATAATAATCAAAATGTGTTTAACAACTCCTTCTCTGTTGAATCTTACTTGAAATCTTATTGGGTTTGTAACTGTGCACTGTGTTAGATAATGTTCCAGTGATCTGTCGGCCCTTTCTCCACAGTGCTGACATTTCCTCTCGTCTTCTGGAACCTGTAAGCCTATTTCCCATGCACATGGGTATCCAAGCCTGATGCAATGTGTGTACTTCTGTTTTTCTACTGCTCCCTTTCATCAAAATAAGTGGTTCGTAGTTGGTCGAATTCTTGTACCAACCCTCAGATCCTGATGTTGCAACTGCTGTGTTGTGGTCACTGTTCATCTTTTCCATTGCTCTATTTCAAATTACTTTCTTAATATGTGATAGACTCTGTGATATATAAATGTCTAAATTTCTTCTCTTGCAGGTTTTGCAGCATTGTCTGCAATGTCATTCCTTATTATTCCCACATGACTTGGCACCCTGCCCTGGTAACACACCATTACTCTCTCCTCTATCCTTATCTCAATTATGGTATCTGTGCTTGGGGTTCTACTACAAATAACAGGTTGGATAACAAGGACCTTCCAAACAAGGGATGCCACACCGATGATGATTCTTTTTAAGACACTAGTGCTCTCTAGGGTTGAATATTGTTGCACTCTAACAGCCCCATTCGGAGATGGAGGAATTGCTGACCTAGAGAGCGTGCAAAGATCCTTTACTGCTAGAACTACTCTGTAGGTAATCTTGATTATTGGGACCGATTAAAAGTTATAAATCTGTATTCGCTAGAGTGTAGGTGAGAGAGATACATAATAATCTACACGAGGAAGATATTAGAGGGACTGGTTTCAAATCTGAACACAGAAATAACACATAAGACCAGAGGGCATGGCAGGATGTGCAGAATACCCTGTTGAAAAGCAGAGGTGCAATAGGTACTCTGAGAGAGAACTATATCAACATCAGAGGCCCGAGACTGTTCAACACTCCAACTACACATAATCACTCAGCCCCTAGGAACAATCCCTCAGGCCCAAGGAACAATCACTCAGTCCCCAGGAACAAAAAAAAATCATTCAGCTCCAGGAACAATCACTCAGGTCTCAGGAACACTCACTCAACCCTCAGGAACAATCTCTCAACCCCCAGGAACAATCACTCAGCCCCCAGGAACAATCACTTAGCCCCCAGGAACAATCACTCAGCCCCCCAGGAACAATCATTCAGCCCCCCAGGAACAATCATTCAGCCCCCAGGAGCACTCACTCAGCCCCCAGGAACACTCACTCAGCCCCCAGGAACACTCACTCAGCCCCCAGGAACATTCACTCAGCCCCCAGGAACAATCTCAGCCCCCAGGAACAATCACTCAGCCCCCAGGAACACTCACTCAGCCCCCCAGGAACACTCACTCAGCCCCTCAGGAACAATCTCAGCCCCCAGGAGCACTCACTCAGCCCCCAGGAATACTCACTCAGCCCCCAGGAACACTCACTCAGCCCCCAGGAATACTCACTCAGCCCTCAGGAACAATCACTCAGCCCCCAGGAACACTCACTCAGCCCCCAGGAAAGTCTCTAGTGCACCCCATCTGGACTACAGTATCCAACCATGGAGATTTAACTGTGAAAAAGACAGCTGCTTTGAAGAAAGTTCAACACAGAGCGACACAAATCATGCCAGAACTAAGTCAACTCTCATACCAGGAAAGGTTGAGGTCCACAAGGCCAACTACACTGTGAACCAGACGTGACAGGTCAGATTTCATCGAGATCCTTAAATCGAGCCACAATGCAGGGCAAAAAAAAAAAAAAATGTTTTTTCAGCCATTGGGTTATAAGCCCATGGATTCGTCTACCCACTGAAGCCGTATATTCCAAGACATTACTTCATCTTAAAATCCAGATAGAAAAACAAACAGGAACAATGTGGGGACCTTTGACAAGATGTTGGTTTCCTGTCCCCGTCGAGACCACTAGAAATATATTGGCCCTCGGGTATATAGCTGCAAACTCTAGAAAATATAGATGCATAATTGATTACAGTGTTATTATAGATTACTGTGTACTAACTCTACCGGAAGTTGAGAAACTTGAATTAGACAAGGAAGCTGAAACACAACAAACACAGCTTCTATTTGTAACTGGAAACAAATGATAGCAAGAGTTAATAACACATTGAGACAAACACAATCGTTAGAGTGGTCACGGAAGGCAGGACTCACCCAGGACTCCCTCTGGATCGAAGGCCGCAGTCTTATAGACCAACTTGGCTGTGGGGTTCTGGTATATGTGCTGGGTGGTGAGGAGCCAGCGGTCCACCTCTCCTGTGGCGCCCCCCACACACTCAGGCGACGGCGTCCCATTCTGTAGCAGCGCCACACCTCCAGGTCCCAGGTAACCCCTAGCCAAATACACACGCACTCGTCGTCATCACGAATACACTTTGCAACAGTTTAAGGATATTTTAAGAGATTTTTATATTGACCTAAAGACATGGTAAGGAATGAAAATAACTTGACTTGGGACTCACGTTGGAAGTGCTGGGTAAGAATAGGAAGATAATAATAAAAGAAGCTGCAATCTGCCAATTGGCCCAAACGAGACAGCTTCAATATATATCCACCTCAACTCGGTCATACATATGTCAACCCTATGTTTGAAATAATCCAGCGAACTCAAGGCTATTATGTTACTTAATAATTTGTTCCATAAACCAACAACCTTGTTTCCAAATGCAGTATTAACCCAGGTCTTTCTTGAACCTAAACTTAACCCCCTCAAGGGTGTGGTGAGGGGATTCTTGTGCGCTGCCCTCAGGCAGATACCTCTTGCGGTGATTCCGAGGGTCAAGGTGAGGTTATAAGGTCAAGTGGAAGCGCATCCAAACAGGATGTTTGATGCGGCTGCTTGCAGCCACACATATGTCTGGTTGAACAGGTATCCTTTGGAGGTGCTTATCGAGCTCTCTTTTGAACACTATGAGGGGTCGCCCAGTTATGCCCCTTATGTATAGTGGAAACGAATTGAACAGTCTCGGGTCTCTGATGTTGAAAGAGTTCTCAGAGTACCTGTTGCACCTCTTCTTTTCAACGGAGGTATTCTGCACATCCTGCCATGCCTTCTGGTCTCATGTGGTGTTATTTCTGTGTGCAGGTTTGGGACCAGCCCCCCAGATGTGGGGGCCCCTTCTCATCTCTGCTGCCTGCTGTGACCGCACAAGCGAATTATGCTCAAGTGTGTCCCCCCTACCGTCCGTTTTCTGGCCATGGAGACCCATGCATTCCCGTTTCTGGAAGGGTTCCTATTGAAAACTCCTTGGTGCATGCTGCTTGGCACACTTCACTGATGCAATCCACGCCAGGCCCTTGAGAGTCATATATGTCTACCGGAGATCAGAGGCCAAAACTTGGTTCAACTTTAAAGAGGCACAAGGATTAGGGGATCGTTGGTTGCCCTAACCAAAAATAGGCCACCATAAAGGTGGCCGGAACCAAAACATACAAACGGTAAGGTAAACAAAGCAGAGCAAATGGGACAGTAAAGCCCTGGGACTCACGAAAAATATGGGACTCGGTTGTGAAGTAAGTAAGTAAGTAATTATCAAAAGAAGGCACCAAACCGGGAAGGCTATGTAGCACCATCAAATACGCAAAATAATCAGAGGGCGCTAAATATCACCAAGGATGCCAATACGAGAACAAAAACGCATAAGGCGAACGATATCAAAAGTATCCGAGTCACCAAGAATTCTATCGAGGGACAGGTGACCGCGAGGGGCGGTCGGAAAGCAAGACACACGCTCGTCCTGGAAGTCAGGACATTCAAGAAGGACAAGCACGACCGTAAGAGGGACAATGCAACTAGGACAATAAGGAGCAGGGCGGCGCTCCATCAAGTGACCATGGGTTAAGCGAGTATGGCCAATACGCAACCTCGCCAGAGCTGTTTCCCACCGCCGGTTACGGTGGAAGGAGGACGGCCACGAGGAAACACAACATTTAAGAGTACGTAGCTTGTTACCAGTAACAGACAACCAAGAAGCCTGCCAACGGGTAAGAACTGAGGAATGGATAACTGGGTAAAAGTCGGAATACGGAATGCCTTTACGAGAGATGGGACAAGAGCGGACAGCTTCCTTAGCGGCAGCATCCGCACGCTCATTTAAAGACACACCAATATGGCTGGGAACCCAACAAAACTCAACCGACTTAAATTTACTGTGAACGAGAAACAGCCAATGCTGGATCTCGACAACTACTGGATGAACCGGATTAAAGGACCCGAGAGCCATGAGGGCACTACGAGAGTCAACAACAACCACAAAGGAAGACTGACAACGAGAAAGCAGGAAACGAAGAGCATAGAGAATAGCATAAAGTTCTGCTGTAAAGATGCTAGTCTCCGGAGGCAAGCGACACATATAAGTGCGATCAGGAAAAACAACAGAGTAGCCAACACCGTCCGCTGACTTAGACCCATCGGTGAAGACAGAAACGGAGCGGGAGTGAGAAGAAAAGTGCTCGAGGAAAAGGCGTTTTAGAACCGTAGGAGGGGTAAAAGCTTTAGTGATACGGGTCAAGGAAGTACAAAACCGCGGAAGAGGGACCCTCCACGGGGGCAAAGAAGGAACAACACGAGGAGAAACATCAGAAATACGAACGGAGAGAGAATCCTGTAGGTGAGATAACCGGACAGAAAGAGGGAGGTGGTGAAGAGGAACAGGAACCGCAGGAGGGGTAAAAGTTAAAGCACGACAGAGGCGAGAGGAAGGATGTTGCAAGGACCGCGCAAGATAGCGAAGACAGTAGCGATCACGGCGGTCCTGGAGAGACAGGAAGCCAGTGTCAACATACAAGCTAAGGATGGGAGTCGAACGAAAGGCACCAGAACTGAGGCGCAACCCAGTATGGTGCAAAGCATCAAGACGGCGAAGAGTAGAAGGAGAAGCAGACGAGTAAGCAGGGCAACCATAATCGAGCTTAGACAGGACGAGAGAGGAATGTAAAGCAAGGAGAGTGCGCCTATCTGCCCCCCAAGAAGTATGGGACAAGACCCGAAGGAGGGTAAGGGCCTTAGAGCACTCAACACGGAGGTAAGAGATATGGGGAGACCAAGACAAACGAGTGTCAAGGAATAACCCCAAAAGCTTCGCGGAATCTTTGTATTCAAGGGGATGACCATAAAGTGACAAAGAGGGACGAAGAACAACCCGTTTCCGCGTAAAAGTCATGGCACAAGTCTTAGAAGTAGAGAACTTGAAGCCATGACCTGTGGCCCAAGACGACACGGCATCAATTGCAAGTTGAAGCCGGCGTTGAAGGAGAGGCGAATCATCACCCTGACAACAAAGGGTAAGATCATCGACATAGAGAGCGGAGAAGACACCAGAAGGAAGAGAGGAAAGAAGACCATTGAGGGCAACAAGAAAAAGAGTAGTGCTCAGAACACTACCCTGGGGCACACCTTCGTATTGCTGCAAAGAGGGAGAGAGAGCGGTACCAAGGCGCACCCGAAAGGAACGACGAGAGAGGAAGCTGCGGAGAAAGAGAGGGAGATGACCACGAAGGCCAAAAGAATGAAGTTGAGATAGGATATGATAACGCCAAGTGGTGTCGTAAGCCTTTTCTAGGTCAAAAAGGACGGCAACAACGGAGGTCTTCGCAGCAAAAGCAGTACGAATATAGACCTCCAAGTTCACCAGGACATCTGTCGTGCTGCGGCACTTGCGGAAACCAAATTGAGAAGGGGAGAGGAGGTGATGGTGTTCCAGGAACCACATCAGACGAACGTTAATCATACGTTCAAAGAGTTTCAAGACACAACTTGTGAGAGCAATAGGGCGAAAGTCCTTAGGGGAAGTACCCAGAGACCCCGGTTTGCGAACAGGGAGGACAACGGCATCGAGCCAGTCCTCAGGGACTGACGACGACTCCCAGATCCGATTATACAGACTCAGTAAATACTGAGACGTGCTCGGAGGGAGATGGCGAAGCATCTCATAATGAATACCATCGGAGCCCGCCGCCGTAGAACCGCAGAGGGCCAGGGCAGAAATAAGTTCAGAGAGAGAGAGAAGGGATCATTATAGGGAAGCTGAAGATGAGTGCAAAAATCTAAAGGACGAGACTCAAGGACAGGTTTACGAAGAAGGAAAGATTGGGGAAGATGAAGACCAGAGCTAACAGAAGAAAAGTGGGAACCCAGTACGGAAGCGACCTGCAACGGGTCCACCACAAGAGTATCATGGAGGTGAAGGACCGGTGAAACATCGGGAACGAACTTACCCGCTATCTTGCGGATACGCTTCCAGATCTGGGTCAGAGGGGTTTCGGACGTAATTGTTGAGACATAAGATGCCCAACATTCACGTTTAGCCGTACGGATGGCCCTACGGGCCACCGCACTCGCTTTCCGAAAGAAAAGAAAAGAATCGGTCGTCTGCCTACGGCGGTGCCTCTTCCAGGCTGCACGCTTACAGCGGACAGCCCGAGCACAGTCCGCATTCCACCAGGGAACGCACTTCCGTGGACCCCGAGAGGAAGACCGAGGAATAGAGCAGAGGGCAGCGTTGAAGACAGTGTCATGAAAAAGGAGAGCGCGAGAGAGAGGCAGAGACAGCAGCAATGAGGGTAAATAGGGTCCAGTCTGCCTTAGCAAACTGCCACCTAGGGAAAGAGAGGGAAGGGCGAAAAGAGAAAAAGGAAACAAGGATGGGGAAATGATCACTTCCATGGAGGTCATCAAGAACCTGCCACGTGAAATCTAAGTAAAGAGAAGAAGAGCAGAGAGAAAGATCAAGACAAGAAAGGGTGCGAGTCCGAGAGTCCAAATGAGTGGGCTCACCAGAATTCAGAAGAGACAGCGAAGAAGAGAGGAGAAACGGCTCAAGGAGGCGACCCCGGGTATTCGTCAGAACGTCACCCCAAAGAGAATGACGACAATTGAAGTCACCCAGCAGGAGCACAGGCTCCGGCAAGGAGTCCAGGAGGTGTTTCAAATCAGGAAGAGAGAGCGGGACACTCGGGGGGAGATAAATGGAACAAACTGTGTACCATTTCCCCACAAAGATACGAGCAGCAGAACAATGGAGAGGCGAAGGAAAAAGTAAAGGAACAAAGGGAACATCAGCCCGAATCAAAAGAGCAGAAGAATTAGAAGCCCCAGCAATGGCTGGGGGGGGGAGAGAAAGGAATAGCCACGAAAACGACCAGGACGAGCACCAAGCATTGGCTCCTGGAGACAGACACAAAGGGGCGAAAACCGCGAAATCAGAAGTTGGAGTTCGAGGAAATTGGCGTAATAACCTCGAACGTTCCATTGAAGAATGGACAACGACGAGAAGAGAAAGGACAAAAACAGAGAACAAGGAAGAAACAAAGGCGAAAGACCAACAGAGCACGT